AATTGAAATACCTTTAAAATAAGGTATCACTCGACCCCCTTTCCATTTAAGATTTTGGGGGTGGTGTCACCCCCGCTTAGGGGGCTGCACGTGCTAACGTGATTTTTTGCTAAACTTGTGTCCCCCTCGAAAATAAAATCGACGGGTCTGAGCGTTTTTCCAAAAAAAAACTGAGCTGCCAGTAAATGCGTCTGTTTCGTTTTCGATGCGCCACCCTGCATTCTGTACATTGTATGATTTCAGTTAATGTGCGGCATCCTATAATTATATATTATTTATCTTCGAACAATCAAAACCCTATGCAGAATTAATTAAAGACTTTGCTATTCGACTGAGGTGATTAGTATACCTATTTTATGGATGGCACACTAGATGTCTCCGTGCTTTTCGGGTTTCCAATGAGTATATTTGACTACTTCAAATCATAAACAAGTGTCCTTTCCCTAGCTTTCGTTATGTCGATGAATGGTCCTGGAAAGTCTCGTATTTCACAACTAGAAAACTTAAAAATGTAATTAAAAGGCAAAAATCTTAGAACGTCAATTGCTTGAGGTGGGGTGAAGATTATACTGGGTGTCATCAAAGTTGAGACTTTTCCTTTCAGAGCGTATAAGCAACTTTACCCTGCCTCCCTTCCCTCCTCCTCCTCCATGAAAGAGCATTATGTTTTGTGGTACTATTCTGAACGTAGAAGTCCCGACTTCTAGGACCCTGTATTTTGTTCCCATTAATTTTAAAACTGGGTGGCACTATACCAAATTCATTTACGTAAATTCGTGTCTTTCTATTACCGTGTCGAAGGCCTAAAAATAGCTACAACTGGACAAAAACCGCTTGTTGCTATTGCTGAAACTATGAACCATTAATAGATCACCCATCAATATTCGATCGTGCTTTTGAATTCGGCATAGCTTTTGGTGAACGAAACGTATTTGCTTTTATAGCAAAAACAGCTAAATGGATTCTATAAATGGAACAAAAGTTAGTAGATCGAGTCGGTATAAATTTCCAGACATTAGCTAATACCAATAGAACTACACTCATACTAGTTACACAGGCCCAGAAAGTGAAAATTCGAGTGCCTGGGGTTTTTCCCAGGTATTTTTTTACGCTAAGTACGAATCTGAAGTCAAAATTGAGGGTCATTGGAGAAAATTTAGAGAAAACGCACTTGCACACGTCTCACTATATTATTTCCATATTATGTATTTTACACTCTGAACACGAATCTGTCAAAATTGGGAAAAGGCGGACAAATGTGTAGGTAATTTAGACATCACAATGTAAAACTTTGGTATTTTTTGTGCACTTGCATCTCTCAGAGACCTTTGAAGAGATGCATAATGTGTTACTTCAATGCCTGAATTACTTCTTATTTGTCCACAGACCCCCAAATTTGACTTGAGATTCGTATTAAGCGTTAAAATTTACATGGGAAAAACATCGTGAGAACCCAAAACACACCACTTTTTTTATTTTGTGACCCTGTTTTATTATTGATAGGGATTCACGATTTGACTTGATTTTCAAGCTATTTGACTTGACTTGAAATCAAGACAAGCTTAAGTCAAGAATTAGATATTAGCAATGCAACTCAAGTCAAGTAGTTTTTACGACAAGTGCTTGAAAATTCAAGTAATCTCGATATAACTTGATAATTTTTGTAATATAAATACACAACGGAAAGACAAGTTACAGAAAAAACAATACATATTGAACAAAATAATTTGTTTTTCGTAAAATTGAAGAACGATAAACCTGTAAGCTGTAATAGAAAAAAAATAATTCCTTCATCAGCTAATACACAACAAATAAAAATTCTGAAATGCTTGTGACTTGCTTAGCACGAATTCTCGGCTCCGTAATAGTCACTACAGCCCTAGAAAAGTCCCTTTCAGTGGACGCTTATGTGACAGGTGTCGATAAAAGGTACCTTGCCATTAAAATTAGATTTGGGAATACCGCTGAAAGCCTTTAGTAAAACAAAAATATAATTTGACATCAAGTATCAAGTAATTTGAACATGCTTGACCTCAAGTCAATTAGAGCGATAACAAAGTCAAGTCGAGTCAAGAATTAACGTTTCAAGTAATTTTATTTTATTTATAAGTCAAGGCAGGTAGCTCATAAAAATATCAAGCTTCTTGACTTGAATCTCTAATTACTGATCCACCTTAAACAAACATGGATTCTAGAAAAATCAAAAACCGACAATTATTTTTTTTTATATCAGTAGAACCGGCAGAAGTATTACGTAACTTGTGTGACATTATGTCGTTTTTTACATTAATTAGGTTCCCCTACAAGACGTTAACTGGTAACTAGCTGTCGTTCACTTCATGCTCAGTCAACAAAGTTGCTGTTTTTTTTTTCGTTTTTTGCGTATACAGGTTTTTTATGCCTCGTTATTACTTGCGAATTAAAATTGGTACTAGTGGTTGTTGAAATTTGTCTAGTGAAGGTGGTCTCAGGATTCATGTTTAGGAAGATGAGCGTTTTGGGGGAAGCTGCACCTAAAATTTAATGTGTTCGGGCATGACCATCAAAAAATCGTGAGGCCGAATTCTAGGTACAAAAATTGATCGTTTGAGACCCCACATAGATCCTAGTATCAAACTGACATTGGATTGTGAATCTGCACAGTCCCAAAGGATTTGTATCACTGTATTATGGAATAACCCTTAAAATCGTGAAAAGTCGTGTGGCCGAATTTGAGATAGAAAACGGGTTTCTCGAGAGTCGGCATTCTCTGATCAAATGGACGTCAGATATAAAATGTAAAATCGATGTTTCTGTTTATTGTACGATGTTCCGACCATCACTTTTTTAAGTTTCAGGAGTTGAATTATCCCAGATTTTGTCCAGCGCCGCAGGGAGTTTTGAAAGGCTTCTTATAGGAGAACTCGAATGTGACCGTCAAAAAATCGCGAAACATCATAGGGCCGAATTTGAGGTAGAAATTAAGTCACATTACGGGATTTAACGTTGTAGATCGGAATAAGCAAAAAAACAAGGTTTTTTAAAATTAAAGTTAAATTCAGCAGGTTTCGCAACCAATATAGTTTATGAATTAGTTACTAACACGGTTTATGAGTTTAAATAAAATATTTTTTATTAAAATTATATTTGTCATTTGATATTTCTGTTTTCAGGATAGCCTTTTGTGCCTTGTATCTTATATCATACAGGGTGCAAACGTTATGATAGTCATTATTTAAATGGCTGATAGAGGGGGTTAGAAGAAGCAAAAAGTTTCATATAACATGGGGGTCAAAACGGCACTTTTTTAAAGAAAAGCGACTTTAAAGTAAAATAAAATCTGACAACGCCGCAATGCCAGTCGCAAATTACAACGAAACGGAGTACAAATAAAGATTGAGTTTGTTATTTTTGGCTCTGAGGCATTATTTCATTATTTGATAATGTACTCGTAAAATGCAAACAATTACAAAAAACGGACTTACCACTAACTGTTTCACTGCTTCGCCTGGTGTGTGAAAGTTTATTGAACGTATTAAAACAATCCACTTATAAATAGGGAACACAATTTTGATGCATACATTGTTTTTCTTTTTAAAACCCACACTGTACTTTTTTGTATTGAAAGACGGTGTTCAAAATGTCGTCCTCCACTTTCCACACAAGCTTCATTACGACGAACCCAGTTTCTTCTTACTCTAGGTCTACGAAGTTGTCCATTTGTTATTCCAGCCGCATTAAAAAATTTTTCGCGAAGTTGTGCTTCAGGTTTTATTGGACCAGCCCCATAAACCATCCCTTTAAGTTCTCCCCAATACCGGAAATCCATCGGATTGAGGTCAGGAGATCTTGCTGGCCAGTTTCGAGGATCAGGAGCATTTCGACCGATCCAGCGATTTGGATAATGTTCATTCAAATACTGAAAATGACGCCTCTAAATGCCCCGTCATGAAGAAACCACAAATTCTGTCTCCGTTGTAATGGCATGTTGTCTAAGGTCTGTTCCAAAAGTTCTGGTAGGTTATTGGCTAGAAAGCTGAGGTATCCTTCTCCTGACAACTTTGGGGGTAACTCGAAAGGGCCAATTACCTGATCGTCAAGAATACCCGCCCAAATATTTATTTTAAAACGTTGTTGGAAATGATTTTCACGAATGGTATGAGGATTTTCTTGGGTCCACGTCTGAGTATTATGGAAATTTAATATATAAATCTGTCGCGATAAATTTGAGCTGCAAGATTTGAATTCTGACGAGCTTACCGTAAACTAACAACATGTCGGCGAACTCTTGATTCGAGAACATTGTAAATAAACACGACGACGTACGCGAACAAAAACAAAACCACACGCCCGATGCCCGATAACTAACCACTAAATATTTAATTTAATGAAACTTACTTACTGACTACAAATTTTGGCTTAACTTAGAAAAACTTAATGCCATTTATTTGTTAATTATCCAATTTAAAAACGTTTTAGATTAGATTATAAGAATTAGTAAGACTGTGGTGATTGTGGTCGATATAAAGCACTTAAAGTTGAAAACTATAAAGCCATTTAGACAAAAATCTATTGACTTTTGGACCATGGGTCATATGAACTATTTGACTTGTTTTTTCCCCCCTATTACCCATTTCAATAATGACTACCATAACGTTTACACCCTGTAATAATAAAATTCCCTGCAACTGTCCCGATCTGGTTCAAATCGGGACGCGATCCCACATCCCTCGGTAAATTTTGGAATCTACGCACCCGATTTACCCAGGAAAAGTCTTTATACAGATCACATATACGCAATGGCTTCTGAAAATGTTCTCATAGAAAACCTTAGTCTTTAAGTATTGTGGGGCACAATTAAGGGCACAAGTCTTGCGTCTCTCAGTCTCTCCAGAACCTACAGATTTGATTTCCCAATGAGCAGACTCTGCATCCAGAGCACAATTAAGAATGTTTCATAATCTGATCAAGATAATAGTACTAAACTCGGCTTTGCTAATGTTCATGTTTGTTCTTCGTAGCTACAAGTCAACAAAACTTGTCAATTTGTGTCGCAACATTCTCATCTGGCAATCAGAAGATTCTGAAAGGTCATGGGGGTGGAAAATAAAAAGCGTAGGTATAGGACTTCTTGCAACGTGCATCCAATTTACCCAAGAAACGAGGTTAGCAATTCACCTTGTACTTACTCTGAAGGAGTATGTTGTTGTTTTAGTTCTAGAAGAAATCATCTCAGTACTAGTGTCAAAAAAATTGATCGGAGACTTGATGCGACCGCAGGCAGCATACAATCATGAGAGCGTCAGAGATATAATAGAAGACATCACACAGTCATCTGTAATGCGATTGGACCCCGTCAGTATGGCCAAACTCTGGGACCTCATATCCATGGTGTTCAAATGGCAAATGTCCATGACAGATGACATAATTGGTAAGTATCTATACCATCTTTCATGACAATTAGTTGTAGTAGAAAGATATACTTAGCAGGTTAGGCTATACAAACAGAAGAATTATAGACAACTTAGTATTCTGGTCTTTTATATCTGTATTTGATTTATTATATTCAATCAACCCTTGATGGAATTCAGATTTATAACATATATTATACTTTTTGTACATTAAATGGAAGTCATCTTTAATTCTGGGGTTATATAAATGATGACCGGTATTTGATAATATCAATTTACTTAGGCATTCAACTTGTCGAAATGAGACAAGTGAGATTCGATATATCCTAAGTCGATAAGTGCCACATGCGACCAAATGTTTAGGTATGTTTTGAGTTTGAAAACTGGTTTGCTTTGGAATCAAAGTATACTGACCCCTCGTTTTTACACTAAAATTGTTGAAGATTATTTGTAGGGCTCGAACTGAAGGGCTACTGGAGGCCTAGATGCAAAAAATTCTCCAGCAACGCTGTTTTATTCTGATGTTTTGTGATTAAATATCATAATTCATGTCGATATCAAACTCGCAGATGGTTAACCCCAAACACCTGCTTTTAAAACTTGCATAGCCATTTAGAAAACTAACGTATTGATACGAGGGATGTCTTTTAAGTTTTGCATATGGAAATAAAACAACACGGTAGGTAGTTTTAAATGACTTTATTGTCTTTAGAAATATTCTCCACGAAGATTAATACACATCTGCATGCGCTCGAACCAATTTTCGAAGCACTTATTCCACTCGTTTGCTGGCAGATCCAAAACTGGATTTTTGAATGCGACAACTGCTTCTTCTGGTGACTGGAACCTTTGACCACGCAGTCTGTTTTTAATTTTCGGGAAAGTAAAGAAATCGTTAGGACTAGGTCGGGACTATATGGAGGATGGTCCAATAATTCCACGTTTTCTTCCGTTAAATACTGCCTTGTTTTTTGGGCTGTGTGCGAGCTTGCATTGTCTTGGTGGAGGATGATTCTTCTTTCGGGTTTGATTTTTCGAAGCTCGGTTATGACTTTTGGCAAGCAAATGGAGGTATACCAGTAACAGTTCTTTGCTTTTGACACAAATGTCGCGACCACCTTTTTCGAAACTCTTCATTCAACAGGTGGGGTATCCAACGAGAAACTAATTTTCTTACTCCTAATTCTTCATGTAAAATTTTTTGAATTGAGGTCTTTGAGATCTTCAAGGACGCCTCAATCTCGCGATATGTCACATTTCTATCTTCAATGATAAATTTGCGCACAGCATCGACGTTTTCCTGGGTGGACAGTAACTCAGCAAGGCATTCTTATTGCGATAATTGTCTCTGAAAGTTGTAATAAATTATGGCGCGAAAATGTTCTCGGTTGAGTTCCATTTTTCTAATGATTTGGTGACACTTAAAAATTCACTGTAGTGAGAACACTGCACGTATCGTTGTGAAACTTTAAATTTAAGTTTACTAAAGAGTGAGGTTAAGATTAAGTACTGACGTTCGATCCGCGCGGCCTACTATGTTTCTATATGCAAAACTTAAAAGACATCCCTCTTATATGAACATAATTGTGCATTTTGTATTGGATCACAAAATATATGGAAAGGAACGTTTACTTTACCTCTTAAAAGCAGGAAAATACGCTTTTGCGATTTTCCTAGAGAGATACATGGAACTTTGTTTCATCTTTTCTCTACCATTTTGTGATTTTGTGAAAAACTGAAAAAAAAAAATCTTCTACTATACAAAGCGCAGAAGTAGAATCTTATGTGCTATCCTCGGAACAGGACACTGGCGCTGTTTTCAAGCTCTTTATGAGGTAAATAACGGCGATTCCTCAGTAAATCACAAAAATCCCTTTTAGAGGTAAAATGAGATTTCATTAAATACACTGCCACGCAAAATTAACCGGACAAACAAAATTTTGTTCAATTTCAATTTTGAATAACTTTTTAATCTTTGCTTCAATTTCGTTAATTTTTTCGTCAGGTTATAGGTAATTTAATTGTCATAATTGTCAACTGTAGATCTAGCAAAAAAAATTGAAAATGAGTATAGATGCTGTAACTAAAAGGTGCATTTTGCCCTAAATTTTTGAACACACTGTAGAAACATTGGATTACTGAATAACGGGTCTTAGTGTGAGAATTTTAATCCTCAATTTTTCTCAACAGTTCTTTTTTTGATTCATGTTAATATCAAAATTATTGAAGAATATATGCTGTTTTGAAGAGAGTCATGCGAATCATAGCGATAAACAATTAAATTTAAAAATGGTGCAAAATGCACCCTTCAGTTACACCCTGTATAACAACAAACATTTTCAGTTTTGCAAGATCGGCAGTCAATAATGATGACAATAAAATGACTTGACGAAAAAATTAACGAAATTGATGCAAAGGTCAAAAAAAACATATTAAAAGCAAGACTCAACTATCTCTGTTTCAGGAGTGACTCTGCGCCATTTGTACGAAATTGAAAGCTACGTGACAAATCAAGAAACCCACCAACAGCTTCAGAAAGTACAAAATTTGGTAGAGAATTTTAACAAAATTTTAGATAGCAATGAAAAACTGACGCTTCACGAAGACATCATGTACTGGTTAAAAGATTTCAACATTAGAGTGTCTCTGTTGCTCAGAATGGGACTCCAAACCATGGATGGGAATTTTGTGGTGAATAATTTGAGTCCTGTTGCAGAAGAGATGCTTAAAAATTTAGGTATTTGTTACTTTTAGTACCTCGTGCGAGAAGCTACTGTAGATTACTGTAATCACGAAAAAAGTATCAAATTCGAAATAGTATAAGTATTTGTGTTGGCGAAAATTCATTTTTCAGTCTGTATAATAATAATAATAATAATAATAATAACGCCTTTATTCATATTTTGTACATGTGAGGGACAAAGATAGCGAAGTTTAGCTTGAGCTACTCTTACACTTAACTACCTTTGTCTGTACTTTAAGCACGATGTTGTGTGCAATTCCAAAAAAAAAAAAGAGAAAAAAAAATATATAAGAAAAACTAAGGAGTACAGAAAGGTTAAATAACTAATCAACTAAACTAAAGAACACTACAACTATATACACTATGTACACGTATGCCTAAACGGCTCAGAATATCAGTTATATAAATATCAGGGAAGAGTGAGCATAAATTGCTTGATTTGCCTTCGAAAACGAGCAAAAGACATTTCCCTGTACTTTCTGGGCAAAGCATTGTAAAATACGGCAGCATTATACGAGAAACAACGCTTGAAGAGTGTCATAGAGTATGGAGGTATCCTGATCATAATACGGTCCCTGGTAATCCTGTCATGAATTTCTTGATTAAATATGATCTTTTCTCTCAGGTATGCAGGTCTTGACGCAGCTATCAACTTGTGCAAAAACACTAAGTATTTGCACCGCACATGTTTATCAATTCTTAGCCATTTCATTTGGCTGTATTTGTCACTAACATGGTCAAATCTCCTCAATCCATGAATAAAGCGAATGCAATTGTTTTGAATTATTTGAAGCCTGCTTTTCATCCGTTCATCAAGACATGGGTAATATAAAATATCACAATAACTGAGAATTGGCAACACAAGAGACTCACAAAGTTTTTTCCTCAGTTTAAAGTTCAGAAGGTGGCGATTGGCATATAACGCTCTCATTCGACCATACGTTTTTTTAGCTAAGGACATAACATGCTCCCTAAATCTCAATTTGCTATCTACTTCAACACCTAAAATTGTAGCTGAATTAGCAATCTGCAGCAGCGAGCCATCAAGGTTAACTTTAAATGTATTCTCCACGTCACTTCTCCTTGCGTCGGAACAAAATAGTAATATTTGAGTCTTATCTGGATTAATGTTTAGATTATGGTCACTTGAATATTTTTGCACTTTGCTCAGATCCTGCTCTAATAAGGCAGCAGCATCCTGCGAACAAGAGGCGTCAAAATAATGAATGAGTTGAGTGTCATCAGCAAAGCTTAGTAAATCGGAATGTGCGACAGATTTGTGCAAATCAAAAGTGTATATGAGAAATAACACAGGGCCTAGTATGGAGCCCTGAGGGATTCCTGATGGTATCATACTGACTTCTGATAGCCTGCTGCCTACAGAAACGCACTGCATACGGTGTGAGAGGTAGTTTTTGAAGAATTGGATAGCTATATTGTCAAATCCAATGTACTTTAACTTAGAAAGTAAAAGCATAGTATGTCTGTCTGTTCAGAAATCTTTGGAGCCTTATATCCCTCAAAGATTTTCACCAGAACGTTATTCGTGGGCGCCCGCAGGAATTTTTCCCAGAAGGAGGAGCGATCGTCTGGAGGATACAGCTTTTGATGAAACTGTACCTACCAACTGAAGAGCGGATGGTATCAAATTTTCCCAGGGATGTAAATCCAAAAATCCTAAATATTGTAGAGGAAAGGCACCAAATTTGCGACAAGCGCCTAATTTGAGACAGTGGTGTGACTTTGTATCTTTGTAGCAGCATCTTCTAGTAATACCAAAAAGTTGTGAACTAAGACGCAGCAGTATTCTACATGTGTTTACATTTTAGTTTTGCACATAGTTTGCTGTGACATCACAACTTGTTGCTTCTTGAGAGTTAAAAATATTTTTAATAGTGCGAGAAAAGTGATTACTAAAATTAAGGTAAAAGTTACTTAGAACAATTGTCTGATATAAATTTAGTAGTTTACAAATAATACCTTATTTATTTTATTTTACAATATTGTGACTTTATTAGGAAGTCGACGTCAAGCCGAAACCGGGTGATAGGCAAAGTCATAACAGCTATCAGAAAAATATTTAAAAAATTTTTATGTATGTGTTTTGAAAATTATATGTCTTTGAAAAAGACATAGAAATTTCACACCCTACGGCAGTCTGTCAACTTCTGTTACTACAAATATTAACTTTTTTTGGATTTTATTTTTACAATGTAATGATGAATAATGCATCTTCAAACTGGTGTCTCAACCTTACTGCCAACTTTTCTCGTTCAGGAAAAATTGCCACTTATTTCCCAACCAAGTATTCCAAAGTAAAACTTTGCTCAACTTTAACTGGCTGTACTGGAAAAAAATGTACTACGAGAGTTTGGCAAGTAACCTTAAAAGTTGGCGCATTTAATAACGATTCCAAAATGGTATAACACTTAGAAGATTACTCGTTAACTTATGCACAATTTTTATTTGAATCCATACCACGTACAGCGTGTTCAAGCTCTTGTGCCTCGGGATTATGAGCTTTTTGTCGCACAATGTTAGAAAGACACAAGGAAGATCCACGGTTCTTTGAAAAAATTGTATGGTCAGATGAGACCACATTTAAGAAAGATGGGTACATGAACCTGCATAACTTACACGAGTGGCACGTAGCAAACCCACATTTGATGAGAGAAGATAAATCTCAATATCGCTGCAAGATAAACCATTGGACAGGAATTTTAAATGGTAAAATAATCGGTCCGTTTGAGTTCCCAGAGACTTTGACTGCTGAGGTTTATTTAGGTTTTTTGCAAAATCATTTAGAAAATTTATTGGAGGACGCGCCACTGAGTATTTACAGGGACATGTGGTTTCAGCATGATGGCTGCCCAGCGCACTATGCACTCTCAGTGAGAAAGTATCTCGATCAAAACTTTCCAGGCAGATGGATAGGGCGGTCTGGTACAATACCGTGGCCAGCCCGGTCACCAGATTTGAATCCGTTAGATTTTTTTTACTGGGGAACTGTAAAAGAAAAAGTGTATTTCAAGCTGATTCAAAATGTAGCTGAGCTACGGCAAAGACTATTGGAAGTAGCTGAGTTTGTTAATAACCGTGGATTCGCTCGTTTAATAACCCGATCTTTTTTAAGAAGATGTCGAGCGTGTATTGCGGCTGAAGGAAGACAGTTTGAGCATTTGCTGTAAAGGTAAATCATCATCAGCAGCATTTTGACGCCCACTGTTGTGCAAACAGTTATCCTTAAGGGTCCTTGTGCGTTTTCATAATCGGTGTTTAATTAGGAAATTTTGAAAAATTTTCATCAGTTTTTCCTCAAATAAAAATTGTGCATAAGTTAACGAGTAATCTTCTAAGTGTTATACCATTTTGGAATCCTTATTAAATTCGCCAACTTTTAAGGTTACTTGCCAAACTCTCATAGTACATTTTTTTTTCCAGTACAGCCAGTTAAAGTTGAGCAAAGTTTTACTTTGGAATACTTGGTTGGGAAATAACTGGCAATTTTTCCTGAACGAGAAAAGTTGGCGGTAAGGTTGAGACACCAGTTTGAAGATTCATTATTCATCATTACATTGTAAAAATAAAATCCAAAAAAAGTTAATATTTGTAGTAACAGGAGTTGACAGACTGCCGTAGGGTGTGAAATTTCTATATTTTTTTCAAAGACCTATAATTTTCAAAACACTTACATAATTTTTTTTTAAATATGTTTCTGATAGCTGTTATGACTTTGCCTATCACCCGGTTTCGGCTTGACGTCGACTTCTGGGACACCCTGTATAACCTAAACATGCTTGTGTAAACTTTTTAACGAAAAATTCCTAATTTGAGACACTCCTGGAAACACAAGAGTAAGGAGATGGATTATTTAAAAGCCTCAAAAGGATTCGGATAGATACCTTCCCCCTCCAGTTCAAGTTCAGAATGCAGCGGAAGCATCAAGATGGATGATTCGTCTTCAGAGGAAAGCAAAATGAAGGCGATGCTGAATGTTTATTTCGTACGGGTCGATTTTCCGAAGATAAGAAGGGTAAAAAATGGGCAAAATACAGCCATTAAGGTAGATGGGCACATAAAAATTGTGAAGAGATTACCAATAAAAATTTCATTTGCACTTTCTGCAAAAGAAAGCGATTTTTTGAATAGTATCTCAAATTAGGGAACCAGCTCTAAATTCACAAAAATATATACTTTTTAAAAAATATACTTTTTGTCTGTAAAAAAATACATTTAATATTATTTTATTATCTTAGAGTATGCTAGGAGCATCGAATCACAAGTTTATTTAGAAATATACGCCCGTTTAGAACAAGTACTTTATTTTTCCGATTCAAAAAAAGTATCTCAAATTTAGCTCCTTTCCTCTACAAGAAATCATGCTAAATATGCAAATTTTAAGGTCCAACCGGATTCCCTACTGCCCCCTGGGTCTCCATCTGCGGGCGCCCATAACATTATCGCTACTATTATAAATTGCAAAAGGCTCAATAATTTTATCGAATACAACTACATACATCGTATTTTTTAACCAGAATCTCGTAGGTGGGCACCCGTATTTCACGTACATACATACTCTGTTTTAGGTGAAAACATATACCAGGTAACACAGAACGGGAAAATTCTGGAAAATAGCAACACGTCAGAGATTACAGGCACAGATCACCCTAAAGTCAATGAACTGGAGTTGTTTGCCACTGAAATACTTGGAGAAAGAAAATTGAGTTCAGGCAGTACAGAAACCAATGGGAATACGTTTAAATTATCGATAAACGACGAGGTTAGTCTACAAAAAGCACAGCACATACTGTTTTATTAAATGAGATGTTATTTAACAATCCACCGACGCTCCATGGTGTACGACTGACTCTCAATCAAGAAGTATGGACATTTACATTTTCATGTTAGTATTGTTTTAATGTCTTCATGAGCCGCAATGGGTGATCTTTTTTTATGAAAGTTAGGTAATTTTTATTTTTTTCAGCCTTCACATCTAACAGCATTTCTCATCTTTTTCATAAGTTCCAGGCAACCACTTGTACAATCTTCTGCTGACTGTTGTGCTCCGTCTCCTTTCTATCTCATTCTTGGTAATTCATTCACAACGATTGGATCATCGGGATCCTGCAATAGCAGTCATTCGTGATGAACGAGTTTTCCAATGAATGATGAGCTAGTTCATTTAGTTCAACCATAAGAATCGTCGGATTGAACTAGTTCGTTCAATAGCTACACACCACTAAACTCAACCTTTTACTGGGGGTTGAAAGTTCTCACCGACCACTGCAGAATGAACGTACACATATCCATTTTAAGGGTAAGGAGAGACTCAACCTGTCACATGTGCTGGGTGGAGGACGAGACACCGTTCCACTTTCAGTCTAAGGGCTGAGATATTTAGGGTGAAATGACTTACTCAGTGGAATGAACCTTTATTAGGAGATCAGGAAGGTTCGACAGACTAATGAAGTGGAGTCTTTTGGGGTCGGCAAAAATGGCCAAAGGTGGCCTTCTTGACTGGCCTCGCCTCCTCACCACTACTACTACGAGGCTGGTTTAATAAGTACCCGTGTTAGAAATGAAAACACCATTTTTTCCGAAAAATTTCTTTTTATTTTTCAACATAATCCCCTTTTAGAAAGATACGCTTTTCCCAGCGTTCCTGCCATTCCCCATCGGGCCGACAATTTTTTTTCGTCAAACACGGGTACTTATTGAACCGCCCTCGTATAGTAATTTCGATCGGAATTACTGCAAATTTTGATTTTCGGATTGCGAGTCCTTAATAATGATTTTTTCTTGACAGAACGACAACGCTTCTGAAAGTAAAAGGTGTTTCGACAGCATTGACGTGAACATCGGCAAGCTGGAAGATCTGATGGGGGATATTTCCCTAAAAAGTGACGAAGATGAAGAAAAGAGTTTCAAAGACGATCTGTTAGAGATGATTGGCGGTGATGGGGAAGAAAAATAATGAAGATGATTGTTTGTATCGTATTCCCTCTCATTCGTATTTTAGGTATATAAGTATTTATAATCAAACACCTATGAATGTCCAACAAACTTGAAAAGGAAAAAAAAACGAATATCGGAGCACCTCATTCATGCTATCGTGAAAAAATTAAATATTTTGTTATTAAAATATATGACATTAAAATAACCCCACTACACTCCTTTTTAAGATAAAATTAGAACATCCCGATATTTAGTTTCCAAAAATTGTTTAAGTACATGACCTATATTGTGTCAGCTGATTGCATGTGCCTTATTTTTTGTTTTGCTTACAGTTATATACTACTGCAACTATCAAATATTATAATCACATAAAAAAATATGAACTTGCTGCAGTGACTGTCTATTTTTCAGTTCTTCAAATGAACAAGCAATACTAAATAATAATTCAATCCCTGCTCAAAAGTAAAACTGAGATAAAGTTTCAATATATGATTAATCAATATAAACTCACTCTATATTATGTATAATGTATATTTACTTGGAGTTTCTTCACCCATATTTTCTCTGCACTTTTGAAAACAGACTGCACAAATGTAATTGGTAATTACTGCACGAATGTGATCAGTAATTATCATAATATAAATATAAAGTATTATAAAATACAATAAATAAAGTTCTTTGCTTGTGTCTTGTGATTTGTTAACAAATAATATGTAAGATAAGTGATCTCAACTTTTGTATTGACTTGATACAAATCCATAAAATATAAAGTGCCTTCACTATAACTGCTTTTTATTTTCCCTTGCAAATCATTCAGAAGGCTTTTGTTAGTTAAGGGTATGTATTTGTAAAGTATAAGTATAACTTTTTATTAAATTTCATGATACACTAATAACAATAATAATAATAAAAATATTTACAAGCTTAAATATACATAAAAAATATATAAATGATAGATTCACAGGAAGATTTTTAAACATCATTGAAGTCAAGAATCAACTTCTTGCCTGTCATGCCCTGTACAGTCATGGTGTTCATCAAGGCCTCCTTATAATTTTTAAACTTGACCAACTTATAAGAAGGGCCTCTTAATTCATTGTTAGTCATCATAGAAATAAGTTCCTCAAACATCTCTAACCTATCTACACTATCTGCTTCCTTAGACCACCGGGTCATCCAAAATCCACGAATTTGGACATCCTTGAAAATCAAAGCTGATGTAGGTACTGTGACAGGCTCTCTTGACATTCCTCCATAAGTAACCATGGGGCTTCCATTCTGAAGATGCCTCATTATCTCTAGGGCACTTTTACCTCCAACACAATTTAGAGCTAATTTTGGCTTTTCTAATTGACCTGACTTAAATAGCTCGGTTATTCTTACTTCTTCTTCAGTGAGCACTTGTGTGGCTCCCAGATCTGTCAAAAATTTCTTCAATTCATCAATGTTTGGCCTATTTCTTACAACATTTACAGTTCGAATGCCCCAGGCTCGGCATATCTGTATGACATTTTGTCCACAAGCAGAATTTGCACCATTTTGAATGACAGTATCACCTGGTTTTAGAGTAGTAAAGTCCCTTAACATTCTGTAAGCTGTGCATGGATTAACAGTTAGCGTAGCTGCCTCAACTAGCCCCAAATCTTTTGGTACTTTCAAAACATCATCTTCCATCACTATCAGGTGTGTCCTCCATGTTCCCAGGAAATTTCTTAAAGGTACAACGTGGTCCCCTCCAGAGATATTTTTCACCCCTGGTCCAACTTTTTCTACTTTTGCTACCCCCTCATTGCCAGGTACAGCGGGCAGTGATTTTGGTTTTGCTGGATACTTTCCTTGTATCGTGTTGATGTCAGCTGGATTTACTGGGGCAGCAATCATTCTTAAGAGGATTTCTCCATTCTTTGGTTCCTGAACATGATCTGGCTCTTGTTTAATCACCTTCATGGGATCCCCATACTCGGAATATACTAGTTTCAAAGCTGTACCGCTATTGAATCTTCTTGGTATTGATAAGTTAGAATATTTAAGCAATTTAAAAAAATTGGCGGATTTAAGTGTGATGGTAGACATTATCCCCTTAATAACTGCCTTATCAAATAAATGAAACTTGGAATACTTTGAACCCAGTTAGAATCTGAGGTTACTTTTTCCATTCTAAGTTGTCATTGTCAACAAAGATAATTTAGTTAGATTTTATATTAATAGAGGTCAACGTCTGTCACTACTATGTAGAGTCCTAAGTTATCGACGATAGAGCACGCACCATCTACTAAGGAGTATTGTAAGTCATTGTTCCAGAAATATTACAGTTTTCTTGGTTACTTAGCAGTTTCCTACAGCAGTGCAAGCGGCGCCATCTCTTGTACAATAGTGTAAGTTTTTGTGGTAAAATGATAGAGAGTTCTATAATGTCACAATTTATATGCTTGGTTTTTTGAATTCAAATACTTAGCAAATGAGAAATCGGAAAGATGTTTTTGATAATTAAGCTCATACTTCTATTGTCGTTAGGTTTGTGTTACTATTGTACCATTGATACAAACGCTTCAGAGCTTCAATACTTAGCGGATCATTTAACAGAAGAGGAATGTAGGAGATTAGTTGCAGCGGCTCATTTCAAAACCTACGAAGTGCCTAATTCCTTGGATCAAGCAGGTAAAGTGTGGAATAAATTGTAGTTTCCAGAGCATTTTCCTTTTTCAAAATTAAATAATATTTTTCGGCACCAAGAAAGAAAGATCCCAAAAGACGTACCCTGCATTGATTTACTTCACCACTGGAATTCTCAAAAAGATGAAGGAAAAGGTGAAACGCACGAAGCTTTGGAACATCGATTAAGACAAATGGGAAAGACGGAACTTGCAGACTGGCTGGGGAAAACTGTTTTTCGCGAGTTAGCTGTCGATTTGAACAGAAGTTTTGAGGACGATTTCACAGAAACTGTCACAAACATCTTCCTAAACAGGTTAATAGGTACTTAATTTTGCATAATCAGCAAGTACTTGAAAAAGCAGTAGGATTTGTAAGTCATTGGTCATCCAAGGTTTCTCAATTGAACTGTTGAAAAATAAGAAGCTATAAGAATGTTTATTAGGCAGTTAACTTTAATGGTTTTCGAAAATCGCATAAAATCCTTATGAATAGTGCAAAAAACCGTGTGGATTTTGTCAAGGAACCTTTATTATCCCTTCATCAAGTTTGTTTGTTCTTTTTAGTACAACATATTTTCATCCAGATATGGGAACCCTTCAAGCAGTTGTTAAAGGACAAGCGCCGTCATGGACTCATATGGATACAATTATGATTTTGGCAATAGGGGGACTCGTTTTATTTTTTACTGGAGTGTGCTGTAAGCTGTGCTGCACAATAATAATCAGGAGAAGGAAGCGTGCCAAGAAAGCCCGAGAAGAAAGGTACCCTATAAGGAACCATCTGGAAAACTCTCACAAAACTTGAGATTCGCTTCCAGTCAAGACCCCAATATGAATTTTGTACAAACCCCATTTATAGTTGAATGCTAAGTAGACTTCTTAATTATTATAATAACTATGATTGGTAACTACATTAATTTTTTTAGGAAAAAGCAAGATGGTGTAGAAAGGGCCAGGTAACAAATTTTATACCAAAATCAAATCTAACATTTCATCTCTGAACTAATGAATCATTTCATAATCTAAATCAAATAACATCACCTTTTAGGAAGAAAGATGAAGAAATCCTGATATACAGTGTTTTAGAAACCACATCTGGATCAGAGTCTGAGGATCGCTTTGACATTAGGAACATTTCTGAGAAAGAGTATTGACAAAGTTATATGAACATTTTATTTATTAGGTTAAATTACATAAAGTACAACACATGTTTACTTTCATTCCTTCACTTGCAAACCTGTAACAAAAAAGTAAAGCTTAGTTACATGAGTTTTCAGAAGATTACATATGAATTGAAAATGTAAAAGTCAGATGGCGAATATCAGCATGAAATTTATAATTTTTGGGTAACACCTCAGAAGAGGGAGCCGCCATGAATTCATCATATAAATAATATTTTAAATAAGAATTCACTACACACTTATAAAGGTTTCACATTACAAATTTTAATACATAGCAAATTTAACAGTTTACAGAAAAAACTCACTGTTCAAATTATCACACATTACCTGGAGATGGACTGTCCCTAGTTAATGTAAGGGTTTACTTCACTTCTTTCACTTGGAGGCCTGAAACAAGGAAATACAGTGAATATCTGACTAACTGAAATGGTCTATAATATTAGGTTTAATTTTTAATATCAGTAGGCGAATTTCAGCATGAAATTTTTTAATTGGGTAACCTCAGAAGAGGGAGCCGCCTTAAATTCATCACAGAAATGTTGCAAGAGTTATTTCAAATATAGTACTGTCATGTCTGGTTTTGACCTTTTTTAAGAGACATTGTTTTTTAACAGCTGTTAAATGAAGATGTCACAAACTAGCCCTTTGTTATGCCAATGTTTATGACAGTCGAGACTAATAATAACCTTACCTAGGTGGTGGTTTGTATGCTGTTTCCATGAATATAACGTAAACCTTTCCTATTTTTTTGTGTCATTCGTCACATAATCTTCAGTAAAAGTTATCAAAGGAAAAAATGATATTAGATGCAGAACTACTGAGTTAATATGGAGTTGTTTGAGGACAATTTAAATAGTAATCAGGTCCATTGTAGCGATGAAAGATATTTTAATTGTATTTTTATTTGTTGATGCTAGATCAGAAAACAGTTGCATGTAGCAAGCCTGTTCTCATTTCTGTTGAAGCATAGATGACAATAATCAATGCAATATCCACAATCTGCCACTTAAAATTGCTTCAATATAGCCTTAAATGCTTTTACAGCATTGAATAGCATATGCTAACAAACTTGTTTTTTTCTAATGGAAAATCATACAATAGTTGTAATCATTATTTAGTTAAGTTACCTGGTGGTAGAGACTGTTTCAGTTTCTCAGCCTTCTCTTTGTCTGTGATCACTAATGTGTACAAAAACCTGGAGCATCGTACTTTGAATTTGGTGTTTTCCGAGTTCTTCTTTATCTTGACAGCTACAAATTATTTAGTGTTATTGATTTACACAAATAAATAAGTATTTTTCTTACATTTGGCGTCTTTTCGCCTCGCCGTCAAGAGGAATTCTTTGATTTCCGTCAATTCTCGTGGCTGCAATGAGAAAAGTGGGGTTAGGGTAAACTATAAATTTTTTTAATGAAATAACTCATAATAGAGATTTAGCAGTGTAGAGATCCTTACAAATTCTTATAAAGGAATGGGAAAAGAAAACTTCTTACCATCTTTACAGGGATCAAGAAGACACTAATCTGAAATGGTAAAAAATAATAATTAACAGGTTAGAGTGACAGAAATACTATTCAATATACGTCGATTGAACATCATAATATAGTTTCGAAATACATTAAAGTCTCTTAAAAGTTGTTTGCAAATGATGTTTGAAGATTTTTATTATTGAAAATTAAAATTTCCCTACCTTCTTCTTGTTCTGTCAAAAAAAGGAAGTTTGGTAGAAGGACAGGGGGCGGGTGGGAGGAAAGAAAAAAACCGAGAAAACGTCACTGTCATATGTCAGAAGTCATGGCCCAGCATTGACAGCGATGTTGTTACGTTGCTGATTTCTCAACGATCATTGAACAAAAAACATCTTTCATGGAAGGAATTCTCAACAAAAACAAATGTTTAAAAATCAAAATCGGCTCGAGTAAGGGTAACGTGGGCACACTCAAGTCAACTATTGAAATATACTCTAGTAGAATCTAGAAGACTATCCGCAGCGAAATTTTTCTCGAAATCGTTGCACAGCACTTAAAAAAATGCAAATGAATATCGGAAAACTGCCGCATTGACGTTCTAAAAAACCGTTGTTACCCCGGGATAGATATACGTTTTGCACATATACATAAAACAATTATTTATATTGTAGATTTCCATATGTGTAAATAAAATAGTGTGTGTCTAGGTATTTTGGAGTAACATGAAGAGTAGCATAGCATTGATATTTAAATTACAGTAATATACTATCCATAATAATTGCTTATTTAACAAAAAACTTACTTTTTAAAGATATCTTTTTTGGTATTAGTCGTATCTTTTTATATGTGGTCTCAGTTTGTAGGTCTCATCAATACCTAACAATATTATTTAAAGAGTTTTTGCGTTCCTGCCAACACTTTCAAATGAGTCCCAAAAAACATGTTTTCTCATTATTTGTTGTCGAATAAAAAGTTTTCCCACAAAAATTGGTGTACCCATTTTATGCGTCCATGTTTTAAATACCCCCTTGAACAACTTGCATCAATAAAACCCAATTTTACAATTATTTCGGGGAAATTTGTTAATATGATTAGGTTAATTTTCGATGAGTTACCTTTTTAACTACCAAGAGCTTAATAAAAGTTTTTCTTCCTATCTGACAGTGTCTCGAAGCGACTCGATGTTTACGTTGACCGGGAGAAGACGCGAGGAGATACAACACGCACACACTTCAGTCTCTCGGTAACCGTTGGCGCAGCGGAATGTCTACGCGTTCACTGCTCCGTGCAGAGCTCCATTCGGTTTAACTACTTTTTTGCAGTGGTGGTCTTCACTATATAAGGTTCCCGATTGTCTCTCAGTGGTGCTTTAGTGTTGAGAAGTGTCACTTCCTCGCGTATACGGTTGCCGCGTAATTCAAATTTTAAATGTGAACTTTCCCGCTGCACACCCTATATATAGGAGATACTACATTGTAATTTCACATTCTAATGAAACTCACACTGTTATATGGTGTTATATGACAATATGTATGTTAGGTGCTACCTAGTTTAACTATAAAATTTTGTGGGTATAGTACCACATTGTAATAAAAATAACCCATACTGTTATAATGTTATTTGGTCGGTTTTTGGGTAGTTAGGCTGTCGTAAAATTTTTATATTTGACGTTTCGCCCACAGGGGTGGTTGGCATCTTCAGAAGGATAGTTCGGAGTCAAATTGTACATATCCGTTGGTATTCCTCAATATTTTACTCAAAACTTCTTTTTTTTTGCAAAATAGCAGAGGTAGTAAAATCGTCCGATGAGCTGGCAACGCCGCAATCCAGGTGACAAGAATGACAAGATCATCCGTCAAGATGGATGTCTATCCCAAAATACCGACGGCACATTAGAATGTCAAAGCGGCAATTTTCATTTGCATTTTTTTAAGTGTTGTGCAACGATTTCAGATGCGCTCAACAAATGCGATTTGTTTCTCCCATTCGCAGAGTTGCCGATACCAATATGTCATATTTCTAAGAAATCTAAGTCTACCCAAATTTCGAGAAAAATAGCTGCGGATTCCACATAAGAGTATTCCAAAAATGAAAAAAGTTCAAACTATTAAAATTGTATTAATGTTTCATGGTTCAAATCATATTTTTCATGTTTGTATATTGTTGTATAAATGATTTTGTAATCCCTATTCTTGTTGCCAGTAGAGATACAACAGTATTGAGAGAAATCATGGACCGCTAGATAGGGCTACAACTACCATGTGACTATCAAATAGTAGTGATAAACAGGGTTTGTTTATAGCACAGTTGCCTGGTGTGGCGAATTTGCATCATAGGGGCGATTTGACAACTTTGAAGGACAACTGTAACGGTTACTATGGTGCCTGGTATTCGGGAATCTGGCAATACCTGATGATTCCTAACGTTTATTACGCCAGATTGTTTGCTGACTTGCGCAGTACAACATGACAATCAACGTGACTGAGCACCTGGTAACCCTGGTTTAAGGTGTTATATTTAAAGAGCTTGGGGCAGTTAGGTATCTAGGTCACATTTTTTAATGTATTTCGAGAAATCCGTAATGTTGAGTAAATACTAGATCACGTTTCTTGCTTAGTTTGCTGAAAATTCTACAATAGACGTACATTTTGAGAAACAGAGATTTGGTGACGACAAAATCGTAAAAATATAACGCATTTTCGTAAAATAATTTCTTTGTTGAAAAGACTGTGGCTTGATGACCCATTGAACGAGTATAGTGTCCCGCTCCGCTTTGAATATTCGAAACACTATACTCCAGCAGCATTCAGCTTCAATGTTATCTTTATGAAGTTCTAACGTCTAGGCCATGCTGATTAAAAGCTTGAATGAATCAACACTTAACTCTAAATTCCCCACAATTCGGGAAGCTCTACTCAAATTGGCAACGCAGCGTATCTGCCTGTTATTCTCATTCGTGATACAGGTCTGCGGTTAACGGTAGGAAATATGTACGAATAGCGATGAAAGTAGACGAGCCGATGTGCTGTTGCCAAGAAATGATTTCCCATGTATAACAATGGTTTTTCCTAAGGTGTATTATAGTAGTAAGTTATAGACTGTTGCAGAACCTGGAGACTAGCAACCACGTATGCGCCTTGAAGTATAACCTGTTGCATACCTGCAACAAAAACAAATTCTTAAAAATCGATCAGTTGATTGAGAAACTAGAATATAGAAATTCCATAAAAGCATGGCAGCTCATCAATTGTAGTTAAAAGTAAATATGAATGTGCAAGCAACATTAGTGAAGAGGAGTGTCGACTAGTCACCCTGAAACGGGCAGTAAACTTTGTAACAGCAAGAATAATCTTGTACCTGTGCTTGTACCTACCCAACACGTACTCGATAATTAAGGTAAAGGATTAACTGTAAAAACCACTTCATAGTATAAAATGCATACATAGAGGTTTGCAGCAGTGCCACTGTCGACACCGGTTGTGGAATCTGCTCCCAAAGAACTTGAAACATGCGCGAAGCATATCTAGATATTAATGGTGTAGGAACGAGAGTTTCCACGTATGGAAAATGGATTGAAGAATCTGTAGAATGTAATGAAGATATTGTTATCATAATTCCTGGAAATCCTGGCATAACAGGTTTTTATGATAAGTTTGCCAAGTTGTTGCATGAAAGCCTGGGCTATTCAGTTTGGTGCATTGGTCATGCTGGCCATAATATACCAAAGGAAAGGATCAGCCCTTTGCCTGCATTGAAGGGCAATGAGGAGCTTTATGGTCTCAAAGGACAGATAAAGAGTAAGGTTTGTGTCTAATTTCATAGGATTTATATAATCACACATTTATAAAGAATGCAAACCAATCAAACCTGTTTCCAGTTACCTGCAGATTTTCTTTTTATTTTGATTTAGATGAAATGATTGTTTTCAGGCAGAATTCCTGGAAAAGTATGTCCCAAAAGATGGAAATATTCACATCATTGCCCACTCAATTGGAGCTTACATGGCATTAGACCTATTAAAACACCCAAGCATTAGGGACAGACTTGTTGACATGTACTTATTGTTTCCAGCTGTTGAATATATTGCTGAGACAAAAGGTAATAATAGTCTTATATGCGTCAATATATTATTTTTATCTTTGAATAAAGCTTAAACGTTATCTGCAAAAAAAATGATTCTAGGTGGTTATTTTATATCCAAATTTAAAGATTAATATAATAAACTGTGTGGTTCCACAAAGGTATCCTGTATGACCTTGACATGTCAGAAGGTTCATTTGAAAGTCAAGTTGAAAATTTCAACAAAAACCGTAAACTATTTATGACCTTGAGCTTCACCAGAAAAAAATTTGAAGGTCACGCCTGCTTTATAACCTTTGATTCTATATATTACGATAAAAATGTATGTTTATGAACATGCAAAATTCATTGATTGATATTTTCGATACAGTCCAGCAAAATTTTTTGCTAAATTGTAGTCTCAATGTCCATTTTCCATAGGTCTGAATCATTTTACTTGTAATCAGGTGGAATACGTTAATCAATGGTCTGGCATCCACAGTAGGGTAGGACCAGTCGCACTAAACAAATTTTGAAAAATCCTTGCATGTTATTAAATACCTGTGTACGTCTACTGTTCCTGATCAGATGGATGGCACGCATCACTATCAGTAACTCCGATGTGTGGTGATGACATTATATAGGTTGCTGATCAGTGAATGCGTGACATTTGACAACATCGAATCTACGGGTTTATTTGCTTTAAGCTTCGCTCTCACGGGGCAAAAAGACGAACGCGTGGCACGCTTCCGATGTCTCTTCCGTGACTCTTGCTTTGAGTGAGGAGTGAAAAGTGACCCAGCGAGGGCCGTGGACAGTTCACACGATCACGATTCAGTTTGTTCCATAAAGCCGACCATGAAGGGGCTTCTGATAGATAGTTTGAGTTCAGATTCCACTGCTTTGATAGCGAAAAGGTTGGAAGCCACAAATAAAAAAATAAAAGAAAAAGTTTTGTTGGGACAGAAGGTGGTGGATATTTCGGTACCTCCGCATTAGAGACGGTCTGTGCCACCGAATGCACTCAAACTCGCTTAGCTATGCGCTGACAGAATATGAATTGAATGCTTTGAACATTTCCGCTCCCAATGTTGTCAAGTCGCATAATATTAGAACGTTTTTAAGGAGAATGTGTAAAGGGATGTGCTCAGGACATGCTTCCTTAGATATCTCTTTTAGGATCTAGAAAATACATTCCAACAATATGAATATACCTTTTCATGTTAATTAAGCGAAGATTTAAAAAAGCTAACAATGTCGAAAGTTTCGCCGCATATTTCGGCCGATTATGATTCGTCTCGCTTTCGCACTGGTGTGTCCGCGCATGAGCGGTCGCGGACTTGCCTCACTTCCGATAACGTCAGATCTCTGGGTTTACCTAAACTCACACCTCGTACATTTAGACGACAATCCGAACACTACTGAAAATTCGACTATAAATGGCTTACGCATTGGCAATCCGTTTGCTGCGTATGCAGTGGACCCACTGCCAGAAATTGATCGCTTTGGTGCGAACCTGGATAGTCTCGTACCACTTGACTATGTTTTAGTCCAATTGAATAGGCCATAAAAGAGGGTCAACCCCGGAATGAGAGATAATAAGCTGGAAACTCGTGGAAACCTCAATTTGGCCGTTTTGAATGTCAGCATCTTAAGACATCAAAAGTCAAATGTAACAAAAATCGTTTTTTTTTCCTTCCTATGGGCTTAATGCTATTTGCGTTTATGATGAATATAGTATTGTAGAGAATAAAATTCTCGACAGCTTTTGTTCCAAAGATATTTTCATACAATCAACCCTTTTTGACAGCAGAGAGCGTTAGAGCATAAAGCAAGATCAACCGTTAGACCCGATAAATAATACACCGTATTAAGTCTATAAATAATTAAGAAAATATAGTGCATAATTAGCATTTTTTTATTAATTATTACATTACATTTAATATGTTTCATTATTTAATTATATTCTAATTACATTATAGGTATGTGGTAAAGCAAATGGAGTGAATACATTATTCTTATATTTTTATATAGAAATAATGTTTCATACATAAATTACAATTGAAATTCATTTACTAATGGTTTTACAAAGAGTTTAATAACACTGATTAATACAGGATTTCTGACATGACAATTTTTGAGACCCTTAAATCAAATCTAAAACCAGATTTTTTTCTATCACTCACAGATATTCGGTAACATCTACTTTTATGAATTACATTACGTAACATCTCATATTGCTGTATTTCTCGGCGTTTATGCGATGACGCACATATATAATGTTAAGACCTGTCTATTCCTGTTTATTATATGCGAGCTGTATGTTTAGAGAGCATATTGCGTTTATTAGTAGATTAATAGCTGCCGAGTCAGTTACGTTTTCTGTGTTGAAGAGTACTGAGATGTTCTGAGTACTGTTCATTTTTGTTATAACGGTGTGTTGTTTTTAGTTTAATGTGATCGAGACTAGCATTTTACATTGCTGGCTGATTATTGCTAGACATTGTTAAGAGATACTTCAGGAGCAACATATCGCCGTAAAACATCGACAACAACATTCTGAGATTAATGTTTATTCGCGTGTTTATTAGTACTCTTACACACATATCCTTATATTTTACGAGTATAAGCAGCAAATAAAATGTCTTATTGCAAGAAAATCGTGGGTGATAGAAAAAATCGAATGCTATTTCTTTTTGGGTACGTTTTACATAATAACCACCTTGTTTTGACCATGTCACAAAAAATTATTTTAATTTTGTTCACCAGTGTAACAAGAACATGAGTCGCAATTTTCTCCTTATTAATCATCACTTCTGATCGGTCGAAAATTTCCAATTCATTATCATTTTTGTCATCAATGATATTTCTCTCAAGACTTTCAAGTATTTCAGAGTCAAAAGTGCTATAGGCACAGAATCACTCTGTATTCCCCTGATTTGTGCAAGCTATACTCTAGAGATGTACTACTATGGATCCTTTATTTCATGTAAGTGTTTGTTGGTGACACAATTCTTTATTTAGGTTATGCGAATGTTCATATAAGCACATACTTTGTATAAAGAAATAATTGATTAATAAAAACTGTCAAAAATATAATGCAGTAATTAATAGACTTGATGCAACGTATTATTTATGGTTGACCTTGCATTATGCTTTAAATAGCGAACTGCGCTCTCCTCCCACTGTCTTAAAAACGTTTAATTGTACGAAAGGATGTTGTACAGTATTCATAATTAATACAAATATCATTAAACCCCTAAGAAACGAGATCTTTGCACACACTGATTTTTGTGACATTTGACCTTTGCTCTCTTAAGACGCGGCCACGAGATTTTGTGAGGCTTTTGAAACCACTTTTAGGATGACAAAATAAAGATTTCTAAAAGTTTTCAGCTCATTATCTCTCATTCCAAAGGTGAAACCAATGAAATGATCAGATTATTTGTATATTACTTACTTCCAGGTGGGAAGATCCTGAATTGGTTTGCGAAATACATCTTATGGCTGATCATCTTTATGGCAGGAATTTTCAATCTATTCCCCACAATCCTACAAAATATTCTTCTGAACATCTACATGTTTGTAACTAGGACGTCAACGTCGCAACATCGCCACAATATAAAAATGTTGATACAGCCGGCAGTATTGAGAAGAGTTTTCTTCCTAGCATTCGAAGAAATGGAACAGGTCAGAGAGAGGAATAACGTCGTTATAAAAGAGAACGTCGAGAAGATAAGATTTTTGTATGGAAAGAAAGATCGTTGGGCTCCGTTTAGTTATTATGAAAATATAAAGAAAGATATTCCCAATGTAGATGCGCATGTTTGTGGGCTACAACACGCATTTGTGTTGAGACAGTCTGCAGAAGTCGCTTTGATTGTTTCAGATTGGATTAAATCCAAGAAGTAGTGAGATTATTCTATTTAGTAACTAACAGACTGTAACGTGCATTCGAGTTTATTTTATTTATTATATGTGGCAATATAATGTAGTAGTGTTTTTATTTAGTTCCCCTATCAATAATATAAAAAAACCTGAAGTATGAAACACCTAAAGTTCATCAAACGCCAAAATAGCGTGTTAAGCTAAGTGTCCACAAGGAGACTAAAATCTCAAGAGATATATAAGGAATTTATCTCGGGTGTGTTTCCACAGAACATGAGAATTTCTCTGAAACACTCCACTTATGCTACTTGCAATGTTTGCTCTCACATGAGTACATCATAAAATTATTGATCATTATAAAATTATTGCGAGGATGCCAACGAAAAGCATAGGAGAAAAGCGGCTGCTTTTGTTATTATCTTGCTGTTAAGTGCCGTATGTAAACAAAATGCTTCACAAATGTTGGGTTAAGAAAAGCGAAAATAATATATTGGAAACATTATTAGAATAACTGAAATGGTAAGATCAAGAATGATATAAAAACAGTTTATTTTGAAATCATATCCCAAATAGGTTCATAAAATATTAAAAACGATTTTGGGAAAATTCGTCCCTTTTTCCCTGTATCTCTGAGGATACTGGAAATATTAAAACTTTTCAAATTCATTTTCTAAAATATGTAAATACTCAAATTTGCCACCATTTAACCGACCCGTGTCTCTCATCGTTTCGGACATCACAATGGTGAAAATAAAAAATAAATACCAATCATTTTTGAATAAACTGGATACACATCGTTCTACATATTCAATAAATGGTATTAGTATAATATGCTATATTCCCGGCTATATCAAAACTTCTCCATTAGAAGTGGCATACTAAAATATACTGAAAGATGTTCAGTGTTCCATTAAAAAAAAATCATTTTTGTCGTCATGCCGGTATGAATCACCATGTAGGGAATGGTACGTTCCAAGTAGGAAGCGTATAGTTCACAATTCTTGTAAATAACATTTTTGATTGTTTTAAAATAATGGAAATATTGTCAAATTAGATACTAAAAACTTACCCTGTATGTCTAATTTGTTGCAGCTGTTACGTGGCTGGATGGCTTTAGCATTTTTCGATGTTTTTCACTACAGAGGCTTTAACTTTTGGCTACTATTTCATATTTACTCTTGTGCAGTTTGCGGCAGAAAATGAACGATTTCTTGCAATAACCAATAAACTGTTGCAACGAACTGGACATATCTATTTTGAAGGTGTTTCTATCCCTTTTCCAATTCTTGTATAGAATTATAACTTTGAAGTTTGATAAAAAAAATTTACCCAGAACTTTTTTATCTCGATATGGTAGGCATTCTAAACAATATATAAATCCTTCTGTACAACAGGGTTCACATTTTGCTTGTTCATTGTTTCAAAAAAGTAATCCTAGTAGTTCCCTATATCCATATGAATTGTCAAATCTTCGTGGAAGATTTATAAATGAAATGCAAATACACCTAGAAAGGAAAATATAAAGCATAGTTATGTAAATATGATTTGTGGAACTTCTACCAAAAATATTTTGAAAGTTTCCAGCTTTCCGTTTTGAGCTGGTTACGCCCTTGATGCTCAGACTATACTGATTTTAACCTTCATTCAAAAATGAGTCAATTCTTAAGTTGTTGAATATGTCTCAACCGACATCGACTAGTAAAACAATGTTTGTGAATACAGCTCGTGTTTATAAATAAAAACAATATCATGTGCAAAAATCACGTATCTAAATTTTATTATAAATCTATTAAAAATAATCCATTTTATATATCTCATAACATACACAGTAGTAAATAGGAAATGAAAAATTGCATTATATTGCTCATATTACAATACAATAGTAGGTCTTGAGAGAGATAATTCAAAGTGATCTCGTATGTCTTATTCGCAGTATAGCGTTATACTACGCTTTCGCTGATTTTGCGTATTCTTTGACGGGCAATATAAATAAAAATATTTTAGTTAAGTAAAATGAAGTGTCATGGCGTGAATTTAACCGAAGGTTTCGTAGACGTAAATACAGTGCCCACCAAAATCACTTGTTTCGGGAAGTGGTTAAATGAACTGGATGAAAATGAGGAACTGGTTGTGTTTATAACCGGTAATCCTGGAATGAATGGTTTTTATAAGGAATTTGTGGAGACTGTCCATAGAAAATTGGGATGGACTGCATGGATGATTGGCCATGCTGGACACAACGATCCTCCAAAGAATTACGAGACGCTTGTGCCAAAACTCGAAGAAGATAATAAAGAACTTTTTGGATTGAAAGGACAGATAAAACACAAGGTAGGTGTAAAATAATGTATGTGGTAGACAAACTTCCTAGATAAATTGGGGGCGTTATGTTACGTCAATTTGACGGTAGTGTAAACTATCCATTTTCTACCTCACGATATTTCACGGTTTTTTCTGCATTTATTCAAATTCAGCATCCCAAGTTATCCGAGTGTTGAATCGCCCGTACCAACGGCAGGCAAAGTTAAAAATTTTAGTCCAAAACACTGTATTAGTACAATTGTTTCTTCAAAAACTTGTATTCCCTGTAAATCACGTGCGTAGATACAGGGAATTTTTTTTCGGACCATATAAAAAAATTAAGTTGATGAAGGTTTTTCAAAAAGATACATTAGTTTTTTTGATATTTCTTGAAGTAAAGTCAGGAAAAATAAAAAACGATTTGGCCAAACTTTAGTTTTTCCAAAATACCTCACTAAGCCATGAATTTTTCTCAACGGCACGTAAATACGCCCCAAAGAAACCAGATTTTTCCGTATTTAACCTAAGCTATATTGTACACCCTGTAAATATCATACATCATAGATTTCCCAGTGCATTTGCTTTTAAAACTTGTTCAGTTTAATGCTTCCAAAATACAGTATCGTACATTGACGAACAAAAGGCATCCTAGCGCTCATCCGGTTTCGATGTATGGCCGAGTTCTGCCAAAGAGCCATTCATTTATGCGTTTGAGCAAATATGCCGGAAAGCTATGTATAAATATAAAATAAATAAAGATATTAGCAATTACCGAAGAGTATATAAAGTTTAAACAAGTTAAAGCACATGTAGGTGCAGCTCAATAATCTAAAACTGTTCAATCTGTAACGGTTAATATATATATATATATATATATAAAATTTTCAATAGTTGATAGTTTTAAAATCTCAAAATTTCTTCCAAAATCAATCAACATTTAATTAAAAAAACCTTTCAAAATGATTTGCCATTTAATAATAAAATAATTCCGTCCAAAACGAACCTCATCAGTCCAGTTTTTTATTCGTCGACTATGTGTTCCCTTCACTTTTGTTTAAAAACAATTTCAGCATCAATCTCGCCGACTTACTCCAAACGATGAAGACATAGATCTTCGAAAGCTTGAGAGTTTAAGTTATAAGAGTGTACTTTTGCAATACTTTGCCTTCTACCCAAAGAAATTCAAGGATATCTTCTCCTAACAATTAAGGCAATTAACTATGAATACTATATATATATATATATAGCGACTTTATCACGAGAAATGTTCATTAACATCATTGAAGTATACACTGAAAATCAACCACCACTGACGTAATATGTGTTAGAAAGAGATAGAAGCACTGTAACATACATATTGGACGCTTCTCGCACTTCGCTTTCGTACACATTACGAGGTCAGCCAAATTTGAATCTCACCGTATATAAAAATACAATAAATACTGAGCAGTGAGGACAAATGTTTTAAAAGTTAATTGTGAATCGAGTAGATATCAAACCAGGAAGACAATATAATAGTATGAAAAACACTCATACTTGGGTTAAAACTAGAATAAAAGCTGAAATAAAAATACATGTCTTGCACAATAATAAACGCCTCACTGATAACGAGATGGTTAACAGTTTAAGATAATGGAAAAACATTGGGTTCCATATGTTAAAAAAATCATGTGGAGAGTAAAATCATTTCCTGAGATGTTTTATCAGTGCAAAGATATTAATGCTTCTCCGTAACTAACCCGCAAAAAAGTAGCAGAAACTAGTTATATAAGACAACCTTTCAAATTTCAGATTGAATTCTTCGAGAAGTACGTCCCGAAGACAGCAAGAGTCCATCTGATAGGACATTCAGTAGGATCCTACGTGATCATCCGGATTTTGGAACACCCTTCAGTTAAACCGAAAGTAGCTGATGTGAACCTACTTTTTCCAACTATTGAAAACTTGGCACTGTCAACGAACGGAAAATTTTTGATCCGCATCCTTCCTAAAATCACTTGGCTTGTCATTTTGGTTACATCGATCTTCAGTAATCTTCCTCGAATTATTCAAACCTTTTTTTTATACATATTCTTCGTTATCAGTGGGATTTCAGCTTCTGAACATCTTGAGAATATAAGGGAATTTTCAAGCCTAGAGAAGTTACGGAAGATATACTTTCTCGCTTTAGAGTGCTTTGAAAATATACGAGAAAGGGACGATAGAGTACTAAAAAAAAATTCGGACAAAATATCTATTTGTTACGGTATACATGACGGATTTACAGATAATGTGGATTATAAAAAAGTAAGTGAATGCATTCCTGGCATGAGGGTCCATGTTTGGAGCTATGATCATGTTTTTGTGTTAAAGCAAAGTAAGTTAGTTGGTCAGCTTGTATCGGAGTTTATAGAAGATAGAATAAAGGCACGATAAACCACAAACTGCATTTGATTTCACATTATTTAATGCTTAACAAGCTAAAAATCCTCCATCCACAGGTAGGCAGCTACCGGTAATCATTTTTGCTTTGTCGCTCAGCAAAAACAAAACTGCATCGACTACGTCATCAATTTCAGCAAACCTGAAAGAACATTGATAAGAATTAAGTCCTTCCTGAAAATCATTAGTGTCCCACCCCACCGTGGCCAAAAAAGGCCAAAGGCCGGAGGTTCAAAAAATCTGTAGTCACGAGACTTTGCGTAAATATAATATATACCAAAAATCGAAGTTCTTGGTTATAAGTACTTTTGCTGTTGTTTTGAGACTAAACATTCAGAAACTAAATAATTAACGGACCAAGAAAAGAATCCAAAAAAACAGCATTTTGAAGCCTCAAGATTATGGTTTTTCATCCGAACAATTTTAGCAGCAACGGTTCTCATGCAATTTTTACAGAACATTTTTTTGCCTACTTCTTTTTAGTCCACGGATTTGAAACAATTATTTTTCTGTTAGTCCATCACATGGATCAAATAGCCCGTTCATTCAGCTTCAATATCCTGTATCCTCGATATAATCATTCTAGATATCTGACTTTAAATGAAAAATAATCCTTTTGTCATAGACCAATGATATCTCTGTAATACGTGTTCGTACAGGGAGTGTAAGGGTATTCTGAAAACTAGAATATACTGCTACAAGATTTACTGTAATTGAATTTTTTGTTAATATCTTAATTTTTGTATTGATCTTATCCAAATTAATACTTATTTGAGTGTTGGACGTTCTAATGCAGTTACGCAAACTCTCCTATACTTGAAAATTATTTCCTACTTTTTAGTTCGATTTGCTATTAAAGCGTGTTTTTTTTAAGTTTTTTAAACTATGATCTATTGAATTCTTATTTCAAATGGAGTTTATTTTGTTATAAATATATCTTCTTCAACAAAGCCAATAAGTATTGCGTCAAAAAGATATGAGAATGACCGAAATTAGACTTATTTCAGAAAATACTTATACATTTTTATGGGTGGCGCTTTATGATATATGGGACAAATAGCTTTCCATCAAGTCTTTGAAAAATGGAGCTAAATTTAAATCCCAAAGACACAAAGTATATTGGGACACCCGTTAGCTGTCGATAGATCCCATAAGTGTACCTTTTTATCGGAATTTTGTCGAGCATATGCTGTTTGACCTTTGGATCAGACCAAACCAGACGGCCCAAATCGGTCATAACTACTGTAGGGTTGACACAATTGATACGAATGTTGTTTTTACCATAATCTAGGGCTACTACTCTAGTAAATCCATCAACTGCCGACTTTGTAGCACAGTAGAGACTGTGATTTGAGAGTGCTGCTGTTGATGCCTGAAAATAAAACATTGCACAGTGTTAATAAACTCGGCAGTGTATTTTTTAATCAAAATCAATGAATATGACAGTTTTTTATGATTGGCAGAAGGCCCCAACATTCTAATCCAAATAGGACATTTTAGCATTTTTTGATGAGCCTTTTGATTATACCGAAGCAGCCGCGTAGGCAAAGCCTAAATACACGGCATCGCCGCTGGTATGAGCAGTTTTAAGAAACTTTGTTTGTCCAGTATTTGAACTGCCTAAGGTTAGTGGAACTGGAAAAAGCCTCCTCATGTAGATTGTTCCACAATCTCGATATCCTGGGACAAAGGAGCGGTCGTATCGGCCAGTTCTGGATGTACGAAGTGCGACACGGTTAGGATGGGAGATCGAAGTTAGGCGGGTCTGTCTGGCAGGTACATCGCGCGGCGGCATCATGGAGAAATGAATGAATGATAGAACTCGGCCATCCATCGAAACCGGATGAGCGTTAGAACGCTTTTTGTTCAATAAGGTGCAGTATTGTGTTTTGGAAGCATTAAGCTGTACAAGATTTTTGCGTCCCCAAGCAGTGATAGCCTCTAGGTCGTCTGCATTTTCCATCTTTACCTGTGATGATATGTTCACTATAGATCCTGGTGAATTTCTCCTCACAAGGTCTTCAATCACTGTTTGAGTTACATTAATTACTGCTTTCACGTTTACATCAAATATCCTAAAATTAAGAGTTAATCGAATATGTTTATAAGTCTATAAAAAATATGTAAAAAATGTCAGTGCACTCAGGGATTATCCTTCAACAAATGAAAATTTTAAAAATCGTGCTTTCTGTACTAAAACTTTCCTATACCCCATTTTCGAGGAATTTTCTTACATGTTTACTTGACAGATGTGTGACAAAACTGGATTTCATGAAGAATTAGTTTCGCCAAATAGAATATTACGATTTTTGTTCAACTATGACCGACTTGCCAACACGGATAATATGTACACAGTATTGAATGTTAGTAAACTAGATAAGCTGTCGGAATTAGAACGAAGTGAAATGATTTTCAAAATTTTAAATACAGGGTGCGGCAGAGAGGATGGACGGTTTTAAAAAAATCATAAAATAGTTAATTTTTACTCGGAAACAAATTCAGGTACACAAGGAAATAGCATTTGAGACAGTCAAGTGTAGAAAATCACATCAGGCATGTGGTGGCCGAAATCGTTGATGCAGTGCTGGAGGCGTTCTTGGAAGTTCGCGTAGACTCTCTCCAACATAGCTCTCTCAACTTGGGCGACTTCCACGCGAATTTCGCCCTTCAATTCGTCCAGAGAAAAATCGCATATGGATAAATCTGGGGACCGAGGAGGCCAATGAACATCGCCAAACCTGGAAATAAGGCGACCAGGGAAGAGAGGGCGAATAACGTCCATGGATGGTTGGGCTGTGTGGGCGGTCGCCCCATCCTGCTGGAACCACACACGTCGGATTGGAACAAGTCGCCGTCGTAATTCAGAGAGAAAGAAGTTGGTGATGTCGACGTAGCGCTCTGAGTTCACGGTAACATCATGACCATTACCGTCTTCGAAGAAGTAAGGGCCAATGATGCAAGTTTGCGATACAGCGGACCAAACTGTTACTTTTGGGCTGTGCAGCGCTCTTTCGTGTAACTGTTGCGGATTTTCGTTACCCCAATAACGACAATTCTGCTGGTTAACCATGCTGTTTAGGTGAAAGTGGGCTTTGTCACTCATAGGCGAAAACGCGGTGCTCCACCGTCCAAGGCGCCATAACGACAACTGGTAAAATAATGCTAGGATCTCACGAGTCACGAGTCAAACGGCACCCTCCCCACCTCTCTCGTAGACGGAGGCGGAGAGTACTACCCCTGCCAAAAACGTCCGTCCTCTCTGCCGCATCCTGTATAAATGATATCTCTGACATTTTAAAACACTGCAAAATTCAAATATTTGCGGACGATACACTTAGATATATAGCACATAAGCATTTGGACACTGCTTTAGAACTGTTAAATAGTGATATTGAAAAAATTATTAATTGGTTAAATGTCAATAAACTTAATTAAACACTAATAAAACAAAATGTATGTCAATAGGGAAACATTTAGGTGACAATACAATTAGGCTCATGATTAATGATGAAAAAATGGAAGTAGTCGAGTCATTTAAATATTTTGGTATATATGTGGATAGTAAGCACTGTTTCACGAATATTATGAATACATTATTTCAAAAATATCGAAAAATAAATTACTTCTATAGAGTATCCCATAATCTTAGTATGTATTCAAAAAAATTGTGTATAACACTATAATTCTTTCTCCTTTTTTATATTGTTCAACCATCTTGTTTACAGCAAATGAAAACATGTATTCAAAATTACAAATTCTACAAAATAAAGCTATGAGAATCATTTTAAATAAAAACAAATATGCTAGGGTTTAATCTATGTTAGAAGAACTGCAGTGGTTGGACGTGAAAAATTTCCTATATTATATAGTTCTCGTTTTCATATTCAAATTAAAAAATCATTTATTACCACCACATTTAGAGAAATTCACAAAATTAAATAGTCATTATCATAACTACGAAACTAGATTTTCATCTGCAAAATTGTAAGAGTAGCATAACTAGTAAATCTATATTTCAAAAGGGAGTATTTGAATTTAATAAATTGAATAATGATATTAAACAGAGTTCGAATTTAAAAATGTTTAAGGTGAAATTAAGAAATCACTTTATGAATAATCAAAATACATAGTGACGTAATTTTTAATTTTAATAGACAAGAATTTAAAATTACAGAAAATGGATTGAAGAAAAATATGTAACCGAATCATTATACAAAATTGACATTGTAACATTAATGCTAAATAAATTTTCAACAACAACAAAAGTGTAATACCAAAATTCTGAAACAAGATTACATAATAATTTGTACCAGATTCCTACTGGAACTAATATAGGATTAAATAACCCTGTAACTAAATTATGTAAAAACAAGTCACTTGAATTGTTGAATTAATTGTTGCTAAAATTCGCACTTGAAATATAGTTGATCTCGCGGCCAGTGATCGAAACACAGATTAGAGAACTTTAATTACTATAAAATTTGTAAAAATTGACTCTTGTATAAAGATTTGTTTTAAAAAAAATGTTTTACGAGATTTGGTATCTACTTATAAAACTTTTCCTCGGTTACTTCTTCCAAAGGTCCAATTATACCGACTCCAGCATTATTGACTAAAAGATCCACCGGAGAAACTGATCTGACAACATGTTTGGTAGACTCCCAGTCGCAAAGATCCACCGCTACTGTTTTTATCATTGGATTTTCTGATTTTAGAGCATCTAAAATGTCAATTTCAATTCAGATAATTAAACAAATGCCATCTTCAATAAATGTCTCACCTAAAGAAGTCTGGGAGACATCCAAAGCTACGACACTGGCACCACATTCAACCAACTTTTTCGCTATACCTTTTCCAATACCTAAATAAAATCATCACTTGAATAAACCTTAATATTTATTAACAATCAAGTAGGTACTGTTTGGTCTACGCAATAGACATAATACAATCATCAATCTCATCATTCTTGTGTGATTTCAGAAAACTGCTTCGAGCCTCTGGTTGTAGCGTTACTGTAACCATTCTGTATCTGGATACCAAACGTTTTCTAGGGCAAAATGGTTCGCATAGGTTGAATCTGAAGATACAACCCGCTATCAGTACGATTGTCATGAAGACCAGGGTTGCAAGAGACCAGTACGACGCGTGCATGTTCAACAATATTTTTTCGCATTTGACACTGACAGTTATCATGACACAATTTATGTCTTTTTCCGCCATTTATCTTAGTGATCCTGAGAGCATCGACCAAGGAACTCGAATAGATTAGAAGGGCTATATGTTTGCAATGCATGTTTGCCGCCAAAATTGTGTAGTTTTAGCGCATACCTTTGGCTAGTTTTCCTAGCAAAGTGAACCAGTACATTTAAGCGTATATTTTTTTCTGGAGAAGAAATTCAAGTAGTCAATCGTTGTGCCCTTGTTGCGGTGCTAATCGTTCAGTTATTGTTAATAAAGGATAAATTAAACAGCGCAAAGAAACGAAAGTAAAGATTTATTATCGGTGCAGCATAGATAGATAGATAGATAGATAGTTTATTGTCCTATTAAATCAAGTTACATGATATAAGACTTGTCAATATCAATTTGAGGGTCATATATGCGTTTGAGCAAATATGCCAGAAAAATACTTATAATTATAAAATAAATAAGGACATTACAATTACAAAACATTTTAAAAGGTTAAATCACATTATAGGTACAGGTACAGTGTAATGTGTAAAAGTATATACATATACAGCGATTTTTTTTATCACAAAAAATGTTCGTCTAGCCGGTAAAAATCATTGAAGCTGATACAAAGAAAAGAAAAGCGATAGGAGAATCTGTTAGAAATACATAATATATAAACACAATAAACATCGAGCAGTGAGGACAAATGGTTAAAAGCTTAAAAAGACAACATACATACTTTCGTTAAAACTCGAATAAAAAGTGAAATAAAAATACATTTACACCACGATAATAGACAATTCACTGATAACGAAATGATTAACAGCTTAAAAGACTTTAAAAAACAGATACTTTCATGTGTTAGTAAAACTCATGTAGAGAGTAATAGCATTTTTCAACCAGATATTTCCTGAGATGTTTTTTCAACGCAAGGATATTAGTGCTTCTCCGCAACTCACTCGGCAGATTATTATATACCTTAGTGCACGCTAGAGTGGGAGATTTTTGAATATGAAGGATTCTGCTCAATTCTTGATTTTGGAAGGTTAAACATACCGTAACGCCCCATTTGCTAGAACTTTGGGTACCAGTAAGACACCCTCGTACATCGTTTCGCCACGTTTCGGGAGCTACCAACGCTTACGTGAAACCAATTATGCGTGCCTCAAGAGCGATGATAAAATTTTCCTTGATTTTATTGACGAATTAACAAAACTTATGGGCCGCACCGCATATTATTTTATCTTGACGTTCTTAAAATAATTAACATGTGACTATACTTACCAGAGCCTGCACCAGTAACAAGCGCTGTTTTACCGGAAAACGATATTTCCATTATTTTATACAGAATGCAACCCTACAAAATACTGAGTGTAACTGTCTCATCAATCTTACCTACTTCATTGCATTATTTGTGTTGCTTTTATAGATAACACTGAGCAAATAAGTTGAAGTAGTACCTATCGAACTTTTATAGGAAAATTGTTTTGCCATTTTATCGATTATCTGGAGTTTTCCTCTTTCAATTTTTCGTGTACGTAAAACATAGACGCTATTATAGGCGTAACGTTGAAAACGCGGAGAACTTGGCATATTTTTTTATGTCAATGAAAACGTCGAAGTCCAGCTCCCCATTCAGAATCGTTCTGTTATGTCTTTTGACGATTTTTGAAATGCTGCTTTGCTTCAGAGATTTAAGCATTTAAGGCCCGTATCGTCAGTCGTCCCTACAATTGTAGGGCGCCTTTATGGCCTCCTTGATTGTCATAGTTTTCTACTTCTCCGTGTCAGCGCTCTATTTTGAGGTTATGTCACAAACATCTATTTGCATCAAATAGTGCTTGCTTTTGAGTTATATCATGTTTTATCAGCCTGAAATTTCCTACAATTTAAAAGGAAAACATATCTTAACAATAAGAGAGCACTGACGCTGACACGGGACGAGTGTAATCTGGAAATTTTTGAAGGAGAGAAAACAGTATGACAATCAAGGAGGCCATAAACGCGCCCTACAATTGTAGGGACGACTGACGATACGGGCCTAAGAGGCACTACTGAAAACCGGTTTTTCTTGAATAACATTTGAGCGACGTATAATTTTGACACCATAGTAACTAATTGAGGCCTCGCAGGATGTCACTGTAGAACAATTCTCATTCAGTACGGGACAGATTAGCGCAATCTAAAATTGTGGCTCTAAGATAACATTTCTGGAAAATCTCATCATTTATCTGAAAAAATGTGTTGTTGATTTCGATGGAACGAACCAAGGTTTAGGTGTTACATGTGAAAGATTTTTGAGAAGATGATACCAAAAGTTCATCATTCCCCTTGCATTGTGGAAAGGTTTTTAGCGAAGAAATGGCTTTCCAACCCTGTGACTTTTTAATCTTATTTCCCAAAATGGAATTTCAGTTCAAGAAAATTCAGGCTGCGTAAAAGGTAGGTCAAAGAAGCTGTAGGCATAGTCAGAAACAAATTAGCTTCTGGGGATTGATGATACAATTTTGCCCGCAACTGATTTGCTTGTTTTTATTGACAAATTCCTAAAACTTAATGGCCGCACCACATCTTATTTTATTTGGACTTTCTTAAAATAATTGATATGTGACTACTTGTGCTCATTTTACTCGAGAATAATTTTTCCATTATTTTGTACAGAATGTAACCCTACAAAATACCGAGTGTAACTGTTTCATTAATCTTACCTACTTTTTGCAATGTTTGTGTTGCTTTTACAGATAACACGTATCAAATAAAATGAAGTGATACCGTATCAGATTCTTATAGAAAAATTGCTGTTTTTGATGTGAACGGGCTGTTTCCTCTTTTAGTGTTTCCTGTAAGTAAAACATATGGAAGCTAAAGGCGTAACGTCAAAAACGTGACATATCCTGCCACTCCGCTCTAGAATATTTGATCACAGAAATTTAATGCTACCCTGCGCTCTTCAATTTTTTTAAACAGCTGCATTTCAGCATTTGATGCTACTCCTTTCTGCGCTCTTCAATTTTCAAAACCGAGTGCAGCTCAAGCAAGGTGCCCCATTTTCAATGTTCAATCACCAGTACCTATTTGCTGTTTTTTTTAGTGTCGAAATCTACCGGAAAATTTCACACAAATCTACCAAAAACACTTCATTTGCAACACTATCACTTAATTATCCCTCAGCATTCTCGCTGCCTCTGGCACGCGTATCTTGAAAATATATATCTATCGTTCAAGTTTCAAGGGCAAATGTGCGAGGAAATCTATGTCAGGTGCGTGGCACCGAAAAATTCACATAATAAACCCTTCCCCACCCCCTACGACCACCAACATCCGATTTTTAAGCCCTGCAAATTTTTTTTGAAAACAATCAGGATCTTTTGAACATCAAAAAACGAGGTTTGAGCTTTTTTTTCGTCTTGTTGCCTGTAGCTCCACCGCCACTGGACCAATTTTTAAAATTACAAAGCTTGGCAAGAGCGTGTGAAAACTTCATTAACATCCAGAAAGTACATGCCAAGTTGTAGATGGGTCAAGGATTAGCGAACAGACAGACAGACAGAAGGATGGAACTGAGTGACATGGTATTTCGTGATGTACGTGTCATATAACAAAAAAAAATTACTCAATTTCGAAATTTTTCGCGATTACAATACTTCCACGCCAGTCATTGGCGTAGCTACCTTGGGTGGCACCCGTTGCGGAAGCTGGTTGTGCCACCCCATCGAAATTCGAAAGCAATAAATTTTGTATGATTTACCCGTCATGGAACATTTAATATTTATATTTAGAATATTGAACAAATATTTTTATCTTACAATATTAAAATCGCTTTTTTCTAGCTTTGAAAGCTGCAAACTAAGAAATAACTTCATCAAAATTTATATTATGTTTTGCCTCGTATTCGATGGCTAATATACCAAGACTGCTAAGCTGCGATTGGGTCATTGTTGTCCGAAAATAGTTTTTCATTAATTTTAGTTTACTGAAACTCCTTTCACATGAAGCTACGCACACGCAAACCGTCATGAACAATTTTAGTGAAATCATACGATTTGGAAGAGATTCTGTAAAATCCCATTCTACAATAAACTTCAAAAAACCTAGAGATACCCAATCAGAAACTGTAACATTAGCGGCTTTTAAGTGTCTTCGCAGTCTTGGTATCTCCAAAAGTAATTCTGTTTCTGAGACCTCATCATAAAAACTAGTAAATTTGGATGTAGCTAATTTCAGTTTTCCATTATTCGCCAAAAGCAAAGTATTTCTTCATACAATCTCGAACAATGAAGCTAGGTCTTGAAGAGACTGCGATCTTGTCTCGAGTTCAACTCTGATCAGTTAAGACATTCCAACATATCTTTTTGAAGTTCTTCTTTCAGTGTGAGTCATCACTGGCCATCTCACCAATTTTTTACGAAGAAGTCGTCTTTTTGTTTTAATATTGTAGTCTTCTGATTTTTTTGTAGCAATATCTATTGCCTCTTCCACTATGTGACCCGTCTTTCTTCGATATAAAGACGAAGTGCCTCTATTTTAGCAGCAGTTTCGTCAACAATTAAGCCTTTACTTTGCAATGCAATCTGTGCATTTTTTGTGTTTGTACATTGTTCTTGATGTTGAGTCACCGGGTGGGTGTCACCCCAAAAAGGTGACACTCGCCGCGTATGAAGTAAAAATTTGTGTATCCTTGCATTTCTGCGCGGTAGCTCGGGGAATTTAGAATAAAACATACTTTCGTTTCGCACAGTTTTATTTGTATGCAGTAATAACACCAACCATGGATAACATTTGCGTATTCAATCCAACGCATATACAAGTATAGTCGGTATTAACCTTAGGCGAGGTGTTTCAACATTTATGCTTAAATCGTTTTTTTGTTATATTCTAAGCACTGTATTTTCCGTATCACAAGCCCTTGTAATGTTTTATACAAATTAGTGATATAATTGAAAACTACAGCTATATATACACGTAACTTTAAATTCGATACCCTAAATTTTTTTAAAATGGGTGTTATACAAACCCCAAATCAAATTAAATTGTTAAGTGACAGATATATATCTAAAAATTGTTTGCATATGTACACATTAGGAAAAACATTTATTGTCCGCTAAAAAATTAATTTGGCGGTGGAAAAAATAAATTACTTTTAGCAATTAGTAATCAAAACATATTTCCAAACTCATATATTAGGCATTCACAAATACTGCATACTAAAATGTTAACCTTATCAAATAAATAAGATAAATTTTTGCATATGCGATATGTATGACTGCCTAAGCTCCCTAGTCATGATAACCAAGTTTCAGCAAACTTTCATGTATTCTTTCTGAAGATAACCAACCATTTCAGCATACACAAAATTTTCCGGACGAAATAAGTTATCTCATTTCATTTTGGATAATTTTTTGGACATTAATATACAGTACATGGTTCGGGTAGAAAACGTTAATATCAATTAGTCTGGGCAATATTTTGGATGGAAAACATATTCTGATTTGGATTTTTGAATGTTGCCAAACCCAAATTTGTTAAACAAATTCCGGTCAATGTTTTTGTGGTGTTTGGAAGATTCTGAACAAAACAAGTTCTTGAGAACTTTTGTTTGAAGTTGATAGTTATTGAGATATAAGCGACACAATATTTGAAAAAAATGCGAAATATGTCATTTTCGACTCGGAGAAAAACGACAATTTCAATGTTGCCAATGTTGCTTAATATTCTTCGAACATTTCAATAACAAAATCCCAAAGCATTTCAAGAGGTATTGTTATTGCAAATCATTTGTTTTTTAATATTGTTAATCGAGCATGCGACAGTATTTACCGGGGGCGCGATTGGTTAGCAATAAAAAAATATAGTTTACAATAACAATACCTCCTGAAATGGTTTGGGATTTTGAACATTAACGACGTTAAAATTTTCGTTTTTTCATATTCTTTTTCGGGGTCGTGAAATTATTTTTCAAATATTGCATCGCTTATATCTCGAAAACTATCAACTTTACAGAAAAGTCATAAGGAACCTTTTTTGTTCGTAATGTTCAAAAAACTGAAAAAACTTGCCGAAGAAACAGTTGAAAAAAATTTTTTTTTCATCATACATGGAGAGTGTATGCCTCATAATTACATTTTAAAAAGAGACCACCAATTCCGCTACAACCAAAATAATTTAAATAAGTGTTAAATGTTTCAGTTGAATCTGTGCCTTGACCTTGCAAAAAGATCAAAATGTGAAAATATTTCTACATTCATCTCTTCTTTCAACTTATTTTGAGGTTTATTTGAAGATCAAAATCAACTAGATATAGTACGCCCGAATTATTAGAGATAACTATTTATACAAACGGCACGAAAAATAACGCATATATAACATATAAGACACCCATTTTTTATAGCTATAAGAAAAAAACGAACACTGAAAGCACGTAACAGCAATGTGCAAACTAAAGGTTAATAGAGTACTTTGATGTCAGTAAGCCACAAGATAGCAGACTAGAATAATAAGTTGTGGAAACTGTACAACTGGGCCAGTCAATGAGCAACGTTTTGAAAAACATTCTGAACTCTAGAATTGCTAGCTCCCTCCCATTGGTAGATCCTTGAATTGGGTCTAAATAAGAATGCCAGTGCCTGGTCTTCTCGACTATCGGATGGTCCACATCGTATGCGAAATAGCTACAATGTGACACGAAACTCATGCCTGAATATCATAATGGACACTTTTCATTCGACTAAGTCTCGCGAAGCTAAGACCATGCGATGATGAATGACGAGTTCGATATTACTTCGCCCTTCGAAAAAAAGGCAAATAATTACGTAGGAGTATGAATTACCTGGAAATTCTTACATTTTCATCGTTATTTTATAAACGATTTACGAAAAATGCAATATTCAAATTTTCGCTGAAGACACTTTGATTTTTATAAGTACTCCAAATATTCAGACTGGCATAACTTACTTACATAAATGAAGAAATGAAACTTGTTTCAAAATAGTTAGCTTCTAACAAACTGAATTTAAATACATTTAAATACAAGTGAAACGAAATCCATCTTAACTGGAAAAAAAAACAATAAAAGTAATAAAAACCATTGAAAGGGAAAATTAATTATTTCATTTAATTAACTTTCGAGTGTCTTGCTATAAATTTTATTTCAGTCCCTGTCAGTCCTCCAAAGGTTACACGAAAGTTAAGTATCGCGTATACGAGGTATTGCAAACTCCATTCCACCATTTAAAACGCGCTCACTGGCTGAACCAAAGGACAAAAAAAATTAAAAGTTTACTTAATATCATCTTGTTACCAATCGTTTGACTTATCACAGCTCATAAATAATAGATTACACATTGAATGAAATAAGTGTGTTGATACACAAGATATATACGTAGTGTAGTATGTGTAAAGAAAAAGCGCCCTGCCCTGAGCCCTGGCATCCACGCTCGACTTAGAGGGCGTTTCGATGGGGCACCCAAGTTTTCTTCGTGTGGTCGAAACGGTGCGCTAGCCACTGTTGCTCCAACAGTTGGTACCTGTCTTTGCTCAGGTACAATGGTTTGCCTCGCCTAAAAGTAAAAAAATGGGGTCAAATATAATAGGTTCACTCTGCAATTTCCACGCAACGCTGTTATCAGTTCATAAACGATTATGTTCAGTACAAGTTAGTCCCTCCGGACCAGCTACAAACATGTATAACAAAGAATTAAATGGTCAGCCAAACAGGTTCATACTCCATAATCTTCAGCCATTATATAATAATGCCAGTGCTAGTTTCTTCCCTGCTCAATGTTTCGACCATCTGGCAAAGGTGCTGAACCACACAAGTAACTCGAGAGAACCGGCGATGCAGTCAGAGTCAATCAGACGCAGAACGTGCTCACAGTATGAAGGTTGCGTCCCGGAGTGTAATTTCTATAAATATTTCTCTCGTTTTAAGGGCAAATGTAAAAAATATACCCCTCCCCACACCTTTACAACCCCCCAAAGTTTGAGCGGATTTTATTTTATTCGTTATTTTGTCTCTAGCTCCGCCGAATTACAAAAACTTTAAAGCTCTTTCATCCTTGTCATAGAAATAACTTTCGCTATTGCAATATTTCCTCGCCAGTAAAAATAGGACAATCTTTTGAAACTTCAAAAAGGTGGTCGGAAAAAATCTAACTGGCTGTGCATAAATTGTTTAGGTGATAAAATAGGAAATTTTGCACGACTTAGTCGGGGGACTCAGTAAACGACTGGTCAGCGCTTCGAGTTAGCAATTGGTCGACCCGAGGCACGCGAGTTCGAATCTCCGCCTCGGAGGTTAATTGCAAGTCATGGATGTTGTGTGTTATCTACAGAGTGTCCCAGAAGTCGACATCATGCCGATAACGGGGGATATGCTAAGTCATAACAGTTATCAGAGAAATATAAAAAAATCCAAGTCGCGTATTTTTCAAATTATAGGCTTTAAAAAATCGGAAAAATCTACACCCTGTGATGATCTTTTAGTTCAGTTCATATTACTACGAACGTCAATTTTTCCTTAGACAGAGTGACGGACAGTGTCATTTTGCGTAGAAAGAGAAACGCCACTTTTATTATTTCATGATTGTGTAGTGCTACAGTATACTGTACAAGAATACGCCAACAGGGACCTCATTTATGGGGAATGTAGTTGCAATGCTAGTGCTGCGGCTACGCTTTATCGTGAGAGGTACCCAAATGCTGCTCGTCATCCCGATCACCGAGTTTTGTCATTAAGCACCGTTTACTCTCAGAGGGACGATTTCCAAATCAAGCACATGGCGAAGAAATAATTTCCTTTCCTTACTACAAGCAGCAGAAGAAGACCCGAGTACTTCAGCACGTCAAATAGAAGCAAGCACAGGAGTGCTACAGCCCCAGGATTATCTTCAAAGAGTAGTTTAGTTTTGTCAAAGAATGTTGAAGGGGCCTCGGTTGGCCGCGTGGGTCAGAGTGTCGTGCTACTGATCAGCCGGCCGGCCGGGCCGCGAGTTCGAATCTCGCCTTCGCCATGGATGTTGTGTGTTTGTTTTAGGCAGCAGCGGTGACCGCAGTAGTAGACTCTTCGGTCTCCTGATCAGTCGCCGTGCGCTGTGCGGGTTCGAGTCCCGTCCCAGGAGAAATGTTTCTCTTGGCCATGGATGTTGTGATTGTCCGTAGGTGGTAGATGGTCTCTGACTGTCGAACGCGGAGGTACCACCCGGCGGTTCTCGTAGGCGGAGCCAGAATGTGTGCATGTTGTATGCACACGTGTTCCCTCGCCAGAGTCCGTGTGGCGTCCCCCCTTTCCCATGTATCCCCCATAGCCCCACGGTACCCAATGGGTGCTTAGGCCTTACGCCTTCGTGGTAGTTGGAGTATAAAAAAAAAAAAAAAATTCGAGATTTTAAAAAGATGGTTACATAAATCTACACAACTTACACGAGTGGCATGTAGAAAATCCACATTTGTCGAGACAAGGCAGATCACAGTATCGTTTTAAAGTAAACATGTGGACCGGGATTCTAAATAGGAGAATGATTGTACCCTTCAAGCAGCCAGAGTTCTTGAATGGCGAAATTTATTTAAACTTTTTACGAAAACATTAATCAAATTTATTAGAAGACGTACCACTAAGCATTTACAGAGACACATGGTACCAGCAACACGGCTGTCCGACGCACTATGCCCGTTCAGTTAGAGAATATCTTGATGCGGAATACCCGAGGTATAGGGTGGTCTGGTACAATTTCGTGGCCAGCCTGTTTCCCTCACTTGAATCCACTTGATTTTTTTTTACTGGGGAGAGGTGAAAGAAAAAGTTTACTCAAAGCCAATCGAAAAATTAGCTGAGCTATGGGACAGTATAACGGAAGCAGCTGAATTTGTTAATAACGGAAGATTCGCACGTCTTCTGAAGGAAGGAAGCTTAAACATTTATTCTTAATTTAATGAATGCATTCACGAGTTAATAAAAGCGGCGTTACTATCTGTCTTGCTGTCACTACATAGAATGACTTTCTGTACGAATAACGCATGACTCGATACACAACAATACGGTTTAACTCATGACTAAATACTCACTTCAAATCCCTGTCCTCCTCCTCGAAATCATCCAAATAGAGCGAGCCCCACAGGCAGGCCCTGTGCCCCCTGACTACGATGATGTAGGTGGAAGTCACCACTAAAAACACACCAGTGCCTGCACCGCACTCGTGCGCATGCGCAACCGCCTCGCACACGTTTTGCTGCTTGCAACAGTTTTGTTTCAAACAGACGACGGTGCCGCATAGAAGGCAAACGCTAGTCTCGGCAGCCACGGAGTGGCATTGGGTGCATGGACGCTCGTGGTAGTACTGGAAAGGGAATACGATTGTTAAAAAAGAAAGATGTAAAGGCTGTGACCAATATGCAAATAGAAATTTGAAAAATAGTAGTAAATTGTCACAGTACTTTCCACGCAACTATGGACAAATGAGCTTTGTATATGCATCATGTATGGTATCTTCGTCAACTTTTGTACTATCTGGTATATTAGTCTAATCATATTAGCAAATTTCCCCGAAATAATTGTAAAGTCTGGTTTTATTGGTGCAAGTTGTTCAAGCATAAAAATAACATTTATCTTCCGGAATGGTTTGCGTTTCATATCGGCAAGGTAAACTAGTGTATTTTGTTACAAAATGCCGTTTGAACTAACCCTGTATATTGCTCAATAAACTAGTAGTGATGGAGGGAAAACAGGTGATTTGGGATAAACAATTAGAATTTCTCAAAAACCTGCTCCAATTTTGTTGTGGTTATTTAGAAGTACGAATTTGAGGAATTTCAATTGTCTGCAAGAAACCCTCGCCGCATTACCAAAAAGTACTAAAAGCTGCAGTTTGCCTCGGTTTTCGGTCATAACTTTTTTGCTATTTGTCGGACCTGTTTACGTGTGGTCTCATTTTGTAGGTCTGATAAATACCTAAAAATATTATATGAAGAGATTTCTCGTTCCTGCCAACACTTTCGATTGAATCCCAAGAAACTCGTTTTCTCATTCTTTGTTGTCGAGTAAAAAGTTTTACCACAAAAATTGGTATACCCATTTTAAGCGTTTATGTTTTGAATACCCCCTTGAACAACTTGCAGCAATAAAACCAGACTATACAATTATTTCGCAAACCAAGGGTATTTTCGTCTAATATGATTAGACTATATAGAGTAGAATAGATATCAGTAAAAATTATGTGCCTTGGATATGACTGGAGGAAAGTATTCTGAATTTTTTTTGAGGACAAATATGGTAAGCCCTCTAAATTAGCATGTATATATCTTATAATTTTCAACTGTCGGTGCTATTTTATAATTGCTTTATTACTGCTCTTGGAATGCAGTTTTGTCTTAATAATATTGCCCGAAAGACAATTAAGCTTTTAAGAAGTATTTTGCTTTATAATGTAGGAGTAAGCACATTCTTAGAGCAAAAATATAAAGCAGTTTTACAAAAAGATTTAATACTGTCTTATAAACGTTTACACAACAATTTTATGCGACATTTAAGCTCACTGAACACATTATTTCCATAACAGATTCATACTGGTATTAACCCATATGAGTTTATTCGTTTGCAAACATCAATAAAATTGTTTTGCTAGCGCTCTATGGGACATTCATAAAATTAATTTATTGATATTTTCTTTCTGACATTATTGCTCGCTAAAGCATATTGCACTCAGATGGTCCCCAAACAAATTATTAAATACATTAACATTAACACCATCATAATGAAAGCTACCATATAAAAAATATACAGGATACAAAAGCAAGTATTAATACATAATACATTTATAAAACGAATAAGGCATTCATTTTAGCGGATAATTCCCGAAAGGCTTTAAATTTGTTTAATTTTTAGCATTGAAATCCACATTCTTGTCTTAATTTAATCGACTTCCTAACTAGGAAAGATATTTTATGATTTTCAACTGTCCGAGGTCTTTCTCTACAAGTAATAGACAATAAATTTATCCAAAAAGGATTATCTATTAACACGTGGTTAGTGGTTATGTTTTTCGTTTGACTCGTCTATTGCCCTCTAATTTATTCACGTTGCCTGTCTTCTGTTTGTATAACTATTTCATATATGCGTACAGAATGATTATAAAGGTGGTAGATTTATTCTAGCAGTGCATTTCTGACAGATTATGATAGACAAGACCAGCAGGGTGCGTTTGTAAATCACTTGGTAATGTAATACCGTAAACAGTAATGGAATGTAGATTGACAGATGAAATTTTACTCTGGAATACTGTGTAACTTTATTTTTAGAACGCCTAAATTATTGGAAAGTCTTATAACGACACTTGATGATGGCATACTAATTTCTGACACCATTTTTCTACTACATGGAACGCTATGGATTCGAGTACTTTTTGATAAACAGACGAAGTAAACAAACAATGAACCATACGATGTGCCAACAGTCTTATTCCCAAGGTTTTAAGCACGGCAAGAAAAGTGCACTTTTGACGTTCTAGAAGGAATACTTTGTTCTATTTCCGAACATATGAAACAGGTTGTACGTCAAAGAATTACGAACATAGCTCAGTAGGATCACGAGCATCGATCTAAATCGAAATGGATCGAGTTGGTCGACAGGTTCCAAGCTTCCAGTTTTCCGCTGTTTGATAGGTTATGTCTTTATTATTTATAATTTTTTGCTAACAGTACCATGTTTCCAATTGTACCGGAAAAACTATTAAATACAGCATTGCCAACTCTTTAAAATAGTTCCCGTCAAATAAGTGCTCAACATCCGCTAGATCCGATGTGAATCCGCTAAAAAAAATTATTTGCAAAAGAAATACCCTTTATTGGTAAAAAATATTTTAAAATAAAAATTCACAGCAAGTCTAAACAAAACTAAATAAACAGTAACAGTAGTTTGGGACTATTCAAAACTTGACACAAAATGCTCACACTTTTACCTGAGATAGACTTTTATCAGTTACAAAATAAAGCATACAGCTACAAAATAGACGGGCACAACCGCATGTGGTCCATTCCCCGATTCCTTGGAATGGCTCGTTGCCACATAACTTCTTATGGCATTGTCGCCAAAAATATTAAGAGGTCCAGGGCGCCATGAATATATAAGTAATTATGATTACTATGTGTGTATGAAAAATATTTAATATTTAAATTGTGTTTATTCTCAGTTTAATAATCCGATAAATTCCGTTAAACAAAATTGCTTATTCCGTTAAAAATTCGCTATCCGCAATTGCAGATTTTGTCCGCTAAACATGGAACAAAATCCGCCAAATCTAGTGGAAATTTCGCTAAGTTGACAACCGTGATTAAATATACATATAAGCCAGAAAAATATCACGTTTCTTCGAAAACGACAATATCTAAGGACACATGAAAATCCTATCGACATACCTGAAAGGAGATTTCGAAAGCTATTTCGTCTTAGTAAAATTCTGGTCGAGAAATTAATTACTTTGGTAAGATCGCATATCCCAGAAAGAGAAAATGGGAGAGGAATCCAGATAGAAAACATGGTTTTATATGCTCTCCGATTCTATGCAACAAGCTCGTGTCAAAGGTGTATTGGGCAAGAATATAACCTTGTTATTGCACACAGTACTGTACATAAGTATGTTCATCTAATAACAGACATAATAGATGCCTATATTGTCCCAGAAAAATATTTTTTCCACAAACAGCCATACGCCATATCCAGATTTTTCTCAATGTAGACTATCTAGACATTTTTAGCAAGTATTTTAATAAATAATTGCTTAATAACAATCAAACCGAAACTTATTTCAAATCTAACCAATTTTCTTCCTTTTTTATTGAAAAAATGTCAGTATCAGGCGCATGCCCATCAAAGACTGTCAAAAATTAGTCATATTTTTCGATTCGATCGATTATCGTGAACAAGTCTATCGCTTTTATTGTCGATTTTTGTACAGGTCAGTTCAGGCAATATCATATAATTAATTTGTTTGGTTGACTGTATCTGACAGACTCTGATACACAGAAATTCCGGTGCAATGATAGTTTTGGGACACTTACCGTAAATATCTTTTCGTATTCTCTAGGAAGCTGCAATAATCGTGGCGGATGCCATACAATGTGTTGATCTACTAATAAACCTCTGGCTGCTATCTGGCTTCTTTCTACAAACGCAGCAAACTGATTGCACCATAATCTGTAACAAAAAAGTCGTTTGTAGAATTTCAACTATGTAGTTCATTAATAAGGATCACTTCTGCAAAAAAATGAGCTCAATAGTTGCATTATCTGAATGAAATGTGTAAAGTTTTAAACGATTCATGCTGGGATCTTGCGCAACCTGGCACTGTCCCGTCCATTATTTCTTGAAAAATCTTTTGTTGTTGACTGACAGCAATAACATGAACATTTTTCAATATGTATTTGAATTTTATACCTTGGGGAATCGACGCTCATTGAGGTATCCGAAGGCCAATTTAAGGCTACAGCGGCATTGAATAAGCTCCAGTCCATGGATTCTGTGACTAATTCTAAATAGTAGACTAGACGAACGAATTCGCTTTGATGATTCCTAATTTCTGGCAATGGTAGCTGATATAAGTGGTACTTCAACAGCGCGGCTATCCGAAGAAAAGGTAAACACAGCTTCTGAACCTGAAAATAAAAAAAATTGATAACAGTTCGATTGAAAATGGAAAGAGGAAGCAAATAGTATATAACAATTTTAAAAATGATATCTGTTTGATTTTGACAATTTTTAAGCTACCTGAATTTTTTCGACTATGCTCTGAAGGAGGAGTTGAAAACATTGATAAACACAGGATTTGTGATATGACAATTTTTGGGTGTATCTTATGTATTTTGAGACCCTTATATCAAATCTAAAAACAGATTTTTTCTATCACCTCAGATATTCGGTAACATCTACTTTTATGAATTACAATACGTAACATCTCATATTGCTGCATTTCTCGGCGTTTATGCGATGACGCACATATATAATGTTAAGACCTGTCTATTCCTGTTTATTATATGCGCGCTCTAGTTTAGTGTTTAGAGAGCATATTGCGTTTATTAGTAGACTAATAGCAGCCGAGTCAGTTATGTTTTCTGTGTTGAAGGGTACTGAGATGTTCTGAGTACTGTTAATTTTTGTTAAAACGGAGTGTCGTTTTTAGTTTATTGTAATCGAGACTAGCTTTATGGACAATGCCTGGAAATTGTGTAAATAGTGCGAACAGTTTTTGTTATGTGTGCTGAGAGCTAACTTTTAAGTCCCAAAAACGTACTTTTACTCCCCTTGTGTTGAAAGCATACGAACTTTATTTTGGAGTTAAAGTTGGCGACCAAGATAAACTATGAGCCCCTCATATATGTTGTAAGACCTTTGTAACGTTGTTAACAGGTTGGTTAAGAGGCGACAATCGTAAAATGCCCTTGACGGTACCAATGCTTTGGAGAGAACCGAGAGACCATACTACTGAGTCCTATTTTTGCCTCAAATATTAAAGGTATTGGACCAAAATCGAAACATACTGTTAAGTATTTTAATTCACCATCAGCTTTGCGGCCCGTTAAGCATAGTGATGAACTTTCTGTCCCAGTTCCACCAGAATCTTGGTCTTTGGATGAAAAAGTCGAATCCACCGATTCTGAAAGTGATGGGACAGAAAGCTTAAAAATTTCCAATCCTTAGCATCAAGATTAAAAGGATGGAATCTTCTCCACGGTGATGTTAACATTACTTTTTACCGAAAACGGCAACAAGATCTCGCACACACTGTTTCCGTCAAGAAAGGGAGTTGATATATTGCTGCGATGTCAACAATTTATTTGACGAGTTGGGACAGAAACATGATCCAAATGACTGGCGCCTTTTCATTGATTCCTCTAAGCTTAGTTTAAAAGCGGTATTGGTACACAACGGTTATAAATATCCATCTGTACCTATAGCGCACGCAGTTCATATGAATGAATCATATCAAAATATGCGAGTTCTGTTAGAGCACATCCGTTACAATGAATATGGATGGGCCATATGTGCAGGTTTAAAGGTAATAGCCCTTCTTCTTGGAATGCAACTGGGATATACCAAATATTGTTGTTTTCTCTGTGAATGGGACAGTCGTGCGCGAGATCGTGATTCTAAACAGAATGAGTGGCCACTAAAAATTCACTTTTTGGATTCTCATCTCGATTTTTTCCGGAAAATCTAGGTGCGGTAAGTGATGAACATTGTGACATTTCTGCTATGGAAAAATGGTATCAAGGCAAATGGGGTGTCAATTTGGTTGCTGATTATTGCTGGACATTGTTAAGAGATACTTCAGGCGCAACATATCGCCGTAAAACATCGACAACAACATTCTGAGATTAATGTTTATTCGAGTGTTTATTAGTACTTACACACACATATCCTTATATTTCACGAGTATAAGCAGCAAATAAAATGCCTTATTGCATGAAAACCGTGGGTGAAGGCTATTTCCAACTTTTTGGGTACGTTTTGCATAATAACCACCTTGTTTTGTCCATGTCACAAAAAATTATTTTAATTTTGTTCACCAGTGTGACAACTAAAAACTGAGCAACAGGAAGGGGCAGTTACCGACCATTGAAGAGCGGGAACAAGATTTTTTTCGTAATTTCCTTTGTCCTGGTGATCTTTTGGGCGGCTTTTTTTCCCGGTATCGTTCAAAAACGGTAATAATCGTATATTTAGCAACGTGTCAAAAGTATTAGGATGGGATGTCGTCGATATGCTCGGAACACGACACATGACATGACATTTGACTGGTCGTTTCATGTTTCATTAATCGATACACATATCAGCAAGAATTGATTACAAATATCAGAAGTTCAGAAATGTTAAAAATAGTTCATCCAGCTCTTGCTCGCTATGAGCGTCACCAAAAGCGTCATCTGTGGACTCAACGACACGCTCAATGACTAGCTGCAAGTCAGTTTTCCAGCATGCTTTTTGGTTGCAGATGTAGATGTCTGTAAAGTATATCTCTGGGAAGATGTGACAAAGAAAATTGGTTGAGTAGCAGAGTAGCAAGATCGCATCTATGATTGTGTGTATGCGTGTAAAATCAGTGATATTTGCTATGTGAGACAATTATTGCTAAATATGCTGCCCATGACGTATATAATAATAATAATAATAATAATAAAATGTCTTTATTAGGCACATTATATACACTACAACATAATGTGACCTCTACGTAGGCGAAGTCTAGCTCTTGGCTACTCTACTTAACCTACCCAAATACTAAATTGAAACACTCAATCAAAGGAAACTTTGACAAGCAAAAGACGCTTCAAAACAACGAGCTTGATAGCTTCCTAGCATACATATATACACACAGATATTACGTAAAATAAAATTAAATGTAAGAATTAAAAACTAACTTTTCCACAATTACTACAATGACAAATAAATCTGTTTCACATGCTTACGAAATCTGTTTACTGGCCAATCCTTTATATTGTCATCTAATTCGTTATAAATCAGGATAGCATTGTAAGTGTATGAACTACGAAATAAAGTTGTTTTATACATAGGGATCTCTAGTCTTTTTTTGTGTCTGAAATCAATGTCTGAATTATTTCGTCTGAAAACAAATTTCTCATAAAGATACAAGGGGGATCTAGAAGATATGATCTTATGTGTAAACACTGCTATATGGTACTTGCAAGCAAGCAAATCGACAACAAGTATTTTGGAGTTTTTGGAGTCTTGCTTTTGTGATAGAATCAAGACAATGATAGAACACAGTGCTACAGTAAAATAAGCTTGGAAATATAATAGCCTCACATAACTTTTATCTAACTTTAAAATTCAAAATAGAGCGATTGACATAAAAACACTTCAACGTTGCATAACATTTTTTTAAGATAGACGAAACATGCTCCTTAAACCGTAAAGTATAATCAATAATCAACCCTAAATTTTTTGTAGTATTTACGACAGCTAGACGCTCCTTGTCGATTTTTACATCAAGAGAATTCAATACAGTGTTACGTTTGACAGCAGGACAAAAAAGCATCACTGAGCACTTATCCTTATTGAGCTTAAGATTATTACCATTTGAGTATCCTACTATTGCCTCCAAATCATCATTAAGCTCATTGATTGAAGTATGCAAAGTGTTACTATTAAAGCTTTTATATATCTGTGTATCATCGGCATAGCACATCACAGAAGAGTTTTTCACAGAGCTACCCAAGTCTATAGTATAAATTAAGTACAACAAGGGCCCTAAAACTGAACCCTGAGGGACACCTGATGTTATATCAATCGGACTAGATATAGTGTTGTCTATCTCTACTACTTGTTTACGATTTGAAAGATATGTTATAAAAAACATTAGAGGTATGTCTGAAAAACCAAAAAACTTCAATTTAGCACATAAAAGCTCATGATCTATTTTATCGAACGCCTTAGAATAATCTAATGATACAAGTGCTGAAGCATCTCCCTTATCAAGCGAAGCAATGATGTCATCTAAAACCCTTGCTAAAGCTGAAGTTGTACTAAAACCACTGCGGAAACCAGATTGACACTTGGGAAAGAAATCATTATTAGAGAAATAATGATAAACCTGATGTTTAATCAATTTCTCTAATATCTTCGATATAACAGGAATCAAAGTTATAGGTCTTAAGTCTGAGAGACATTTTGGATTTTTACATTTAGGCAAGGGTTTGACAAGAGATAGTTTCCAAGCATCAGGGAAGTACCCAGCCTCCAGGCAACAGTTCAATAAATGCGTCAGGGGTAGTAATACTCGAGGCAAGCAAAGCTTCAGCATTGAGACTGTTATACCATCCGAACCTGCTGCATTAGATTTTAGGGACAGAATAATGTCTAGCACATTTTGTCGGGTAGCAAAACTAAATTCAAATCTAGCACTTTCATTAATTTTGGTACTATTAAATTTATCAACTAGATCCTTGCAATTACCCGAAGGCGTGAAAACGGAAGAAAAATAATTGTTTACTTCATCGGCATTCTTCAACTGTGTAGGTAAAGATCTATCTACATTAGTTTTGAGTTTCAATGAATGTACAGCTTTCCAGAGATGCTTGTTACTATTTAGTTGTTCATTGAAGCTTAGATATGCTGCTTTCTCCCGCCTAATAGCGGAAATGACATCATTTCTTAATTTCTGGTAATATTCGAGACTAGCTGGACTTTTTAAAATCTGATATTTTCTAAAGGCTTTATTTCTCTCGGAGATCAAAAATTTTATGCCACCTGTGAGCCATGGAGCATAAGGTTTAGTAATACGTGATGAAATAACAGGAGCATGGACATCAAACAAATCCAAAATATGATTAGAAAAAAACGTAGCTTTATCCTCTAAGTTAGTGATGTAATATATATCGTCCCATGGGATTTTATACAAATCCACCAAAAACTGATCTTTACAACAGTGTTTAAAATCTCTATATTTGACAGTCTTTTGAAAATTCTTAGGCCGTGTGATGTTGAAGTCACATCTGACTACATTATGATCTGACAAATTCGGAACAGGTACAGAGCTAGTTGAAATTAATGATTCAGCTAAGTTATTTGTTGTACAAATGACATCTATGGAGGTTGCCGTGGTTAAAGTTATCCTAGTTGGTTGGGTGATGTGAGATACCATATCGTAGCACGCAATGCAATCTAGAAAAGAATGGTCAGTAATTTGATCAACGTTTATATCACCCAGCAAGCATATATTATCATACTGAGGAGACACAAATGAGAGAAAGTTGTCTATATGATCAATAAAACTTGATAATCTGCTCGAAGGAGCTCTGTAGATAACACAAACCAAAATTTTTAGATTATTCAACACTATTTCAGCACAAACCTGCTCCATACCATCTGGACATAAAAAATCTTGCAATACCAGCTTACCTCTCAGTGAATCCCTTAAATAAACACCAACTCCTCCTCCACGTCCTACTCGATCAGTATGGAAAAAAGTGTACTCAGGAATATTTACTATATCTGCTGTAAAATCATTATTAATCCATGTTTCGGAGATACCCATAATATCATAGTTATCAGTAGTCAACAAATCTACAAAGGAATCAAAGCCAGCAAACAGAGATCTTACATTCAGGTGTCCAACAACAAAATGGTTATAAGTTTTTGTGCAATTATTCATAAGAAATCTGCATTTTCAAATTATCGATCTTCATTTTGTAATAACTGCAAAAGGTATCACTTGCAACATGCTTTGTACTACCAGTATCTATTAGATGTACCAGACGAGTTATTTGTGTTGCTCTTTCTGAGGAGAGGTTATGTTTAAAGTTATGAATTACGATTTTCCCTGTTTTTTGCGTTTTCAAAAACATCACAGAAACATTAGGAATTTCGCAACACACACAAAACATTTTCGCAATGCCTCACATTTAGACGATGATTTGTAGTTTCTACTTGACATCGCAAAATAAATTACTATAAAATTTAAATGTCGGAAAAAATATTGTAAAATGTAATAACTTTCACGTTTTTTTTTTTCTCACCCTTTGGTTGTAATATACTTCACAAACCAGGGATTTTCTTTTCTTATCGCACTCATTTTTGAAATTCAGCAAATTTGCATATGTAATTTGTAGGATGAATGAGAAAAAAATGAATGTGCAACTAATATCTAGCTTTGAATGCATCTCAAGTAAGTGTATTTGAGACAAGAAACTAATGGAATTGTCATTATTAGCTCAGAAATTGTCACTATCCACCTACAGGTATGCACTGCCGTTTCCTTACAGCTTAGACCTCAAATAAAGCAACCTTTGAAGCAGATGTTACATCACATCAGACCCAAACGTTGATAGCGGAAGTGTCGTTTAGGCAACACATACAGCTACAGAACGAGTGCACATTAAGTGAGCAACAGATAGTTCTAAATTGACAACTTGTAGAAAAACCTACATAATGTCACTTTTCAAGATAGTAATACACCTGCGAGTCTCTAGATAACACCCATGCAGCATACAATCTCCAAGTCGTTGAAAAAATACCTCAAAATGTGAATTCCAAACTACCTATTGGATACCTTTTACACTCTGCTCAACCCACAAGTCCAAGCAATAACAACAGTTTATGTTTTTAATTATGCAAGTTGTGCGATATCATTTCACCTATTGACGAACAGACTAAAAATTCAAAGATTTTCCTCACACTAACCTGTTGCTCCAATGCAAGAATGTTAACCTGCGGCTTCCCGCTACAACTAGAACTATCATCTTCCATGTACAGCTCCGTTTGACCGAGGCACTCGTTGATCAGTCCCAGAGCGTCGCTCAAGTTGCTCACTTGGCCGGAAGTGGCGCTAGCGGCGGCCCTGGTCCTCTCCGCCCCCGTCAAACCGCATGACACTTGCGCGACTACTTGATAGTATAATAGGTTGTACACCATTTGGACCATGGTAGTGAAGTAAGCTGGAATAAAATGAAAAATATTACAACAACTTATCTAAGATAAATAAAATGATGTTTGACAGTTCCGATCATAATTTAGTCATTGAGCTGATATACGAGGAGGTACCAAAAATAACCGGAATATCATAGCAGTGGGTGGAGCTTGTGTAGTACACATTTCTGCCCCTAGTGTGTCGATATGGCTTGTTTCGTTCCTCTGTATTCATTATTTTTGCTAGAGCTGTTTCGTGTTTGTTTCATTTTTTACGATTTCAAGCTTCAGTGAGCAACGTGCAGCTGTGAAATTTTGCTTTCTAATTGGTAGAATGCTGCTGAAACTAATTTAATGCTGAAAATAGCTTACAAAGATGACGCTATGGGAAAAACTCAGGTGTACGAGTAGTTTGCTCGATTTAAAAATGGCGACATGTCGATTGATGACAAACCTCGCTCTGGACGCCCATCAACTGCCCGAATCGACGACAATGTTTAAAAAATTCGGGAGCTTGTGCTATTTGGAGGTTTCAAGACGACTGGGAACAGTGTTTGGTAGAAAAGACCCGATTTGTGGCAGTCAGGAGTTCTTCCACCACGATAATGCACCTACGCACACAGCCATATCTGTTCGACAGTTTCTGGCTAAAAATGGCATACTTCCGCTGCCTCACGCACCTTATTCGCAAGTGTATTAGTTGTAGTGGCCAGTATTTTGAAGGAGGTAAGGCTACTTTGTGAAAAAGTTGAAAATAGTTTTTAAAAAATAATTTCGTACACGACCGGTTGAACGTTCTTATAAACCTTTGGAAATTGCAATCTGTCAGTAAGAATTGCTAATACATAATCAGGGGTAACGATTTATCGTGGTTAACTTACTTTGATCCAGGTGTAGAGGTAGAAGTAGGATGAATTCAAGAAGAAGAGCAATAGGGTCGCAGAGAAGCAAAGGCACCTCCCTTTCAATCGGAGCCAGTGAGGTGATAGGCACTTTGGCTGGTAGACCGCACAACTGCTGGAAGGTCATCCATGACGGCCACATAGTCAACGCCCTCGCTATCCGCGTGTGGACGGCCAAAACGTGCAATAGGGGTACTGAAAACAGAAAAAACAGAATATTCAAATTAGACGCAGAAGCCCAAACAGAATACGATCCTATTCCATGAAAATACTACTAATAGTAGAATGGAATAAGTTTTATTTCCATTTAATTAGAAAGTAATATAGGAATATGGTCATACACATAAACACAAGCAAGCAGAGTATAAAACAATCAAAACTATTTAACACATTTAAAAAACGTAAGGGCAAGTCGGTGCACTGGGAGCTACAAGTTCAGGTTTGGAAGGAAACAGTACATAAAGTCTGTTTCTCTCTGAATTTGAATTTTTTCTTAACATAAACAACACAATCGTAAATATAAAGAAAAAAACGACAATACTATTATGATATAAACTACAAGTTACAAGTACAAGCACTTCCTACCCCATCTTGAGGATATAATTTCTGAAACTCTGTTAACAATTATTTCAAAGATAATATTGAAGACAAAACACTACTTTTAGGGTGGCATAATTTGAAAGTTCTCTACAAAAACATGAAAAGTGTGAATTCCTACTTTACGCCTTAGGGGTGGAATTTACAAATTGTCTTTGCAAGTGCCCATCTACACTATCAAAGAAAAAATAATAGTTCCCCCATAGTAGCTCTTATTTCTTATTAAAACCCCTTCAAGTCTGATTTTTACAACAAAAAGTAGCCTATATCCGTCTCCAAGATATAATCAGTTTGTCCCAAAAGTATGGACACCCTCAAATATCTCGGAAACTAAGGGCGCTAGGAAAAAAAGTTTTAGGACATCAAATCGCGTTTTGTTGAATTAAAAGTTCTTTAATATTCCTCTCCTTCCAGATATCGGCTGCTTCACAACATTCAATGAAAGAGCAAGAGTTGGCCTTGAAATAACCTTTATGATACGATATTTATACCACTGAAAAGGAAATATTTTGGCTTTCTATTCCTGCAATAAAGAATGGAGGTTCCCATTTGAAAAAATCAACTTGCCCTTGAAATTACCTTCAAGGTGAATGACAATTCAAGGCCACTACAGATGCGCCATTTGATTTCCTAAAACTTTTGTATTCAAAATTTTTTTCCAGCACTTTTAGTTTCCGAGATATTTGGGTGTGTCCATACTTTTTGGACACCCTATATATGCCAACATTCACCAAAATCGGTTCAGCCCTTTTGGCGTGAAAATGGAACATACAAACAAACATACACACACACACACACTTTTACATATATATTAGTATTGATAAAGCAAACTGTCCTCTAGTTCATGCCTATACCTATGAATGTGGGATCATTTTTCTAGATATTGCCGGATTTGCGTATCTTTGCTAGTGGACCCTACAAACTTGACGTTTACAGAAAAAAGCACCGTTGTCAAGATGTACCAGAAAAATTTAACTTGAAGCGTTCGCAAAACAACTCTTCTCTAACGGACAATCTTGGTACCCTTTCACACGAGCGGACCGTCGGCGGTCTAACTCTCTTCTGCAGCTTTGCTAAAGGGTTTTGCTCCTCATAGCGCTTCTCCATGATTCCGCCGCACGACTTGCCCGCTAGATTAAACCGCATCACTTCGGTGTGCCATCCTAACCGCGTGTCGAACTTCGTAATCCAAAACTGACCGATACGACCGCTCCTTTGTCTCTAGGGTATCGAGATTGTGGAACAATCTACATGAGGAAGCTTTTTCCAGTTCTACTAGCCTTAGGCAGTTCAAAAGTCGGATTAACAGTTTCTTGATTACGCTTAACGCCGTAAGACATCGCTTTTAAGCTAAAGAACGACAATACCGGTCCATGACGAAAGTAAATAGACCATCCAAGAAAACCGCAAAGGGTTGAAAATAAATACCTGAAGCACTATTCCATTATACATTGTGGTCAGAATCTAGTACTACCTTAACAGAAAATCTTGCATTGCTTACCTATACAATCTCTTTTGGGCAACAAAGGGTTCGGTGGTTCACTGGCTGGCGTCACCAAGGACCCTCCTCTTTGTATCAGCTCCACCTCTAAATTCGTCCGAGCTATAGAAGTCACAAATAAAAAGAGGGTTTGCGGAAGTGGTTTTTCACTTTTCAGTTTGAACCGATTTTTTATTTTTATACATGATGACATGTCTTCCATTACTTTGCCTATCGCTTCAGACATATTGGATGGATTCTGAAAAAAAAAGATGTTTAGGAATCACCCATAACTTGATTTGTGTTATTTGAGTGTTAAAAAATTCAATTTGTGCAATTTTTAGTATTTTAAGTTCTTGAAATTCCATGAAATGGTCATTTTTTTACAATATGGCACAACATATACATGTCTTATAACAAATAATATATTTTCTAAATTTTTCGCGATTACAATACCTCCTCGCCCAGTGGCGCAGAAAGTACGAATTAGGAAATGCTTTTACTTACAGGTTTCTCCTGATTTTCCCTAAGAAAATCGCCAAGCTCCTCCAGAATCTTGGACATCATTTCATTAGGTCTAGAGCGCACCATTTGAGCTTTTTCACCTAATTGGGATGACAGAGGCAGAACAGAATTCGCCAGCTGTCTACATAATGGGCATAGATATTCTCCTCTGGAAATAAAATAAAAAACTGCATAACCACCTTTTGATAGCGACAATGGATAAATCTCTTCAGTAAGTGCTAATATAGCCCTCAAAAAGATTAGCTCTTCGTATGTTACTTCGTTTTTGAGGAAATTACATATCAAGAAATTTATTGAAATAAGATCAGAATACAGAAGATCAAATCAACTTTGATCATTGCTAAGGAAGTTGTTCTGGTGTCATCAACATATTTTTGACATTTCGTGAGTTTATTTTCATTATATTTATATTAGTTTGTCTACTTGAATTGGGTTCAGCAATACGCCCTTGTAATTACGGTCTATTAATAAGTAACACCATGTATTCCTCGAACATAGACAAAAAAGAGAGAAAAAACGAAAACGCAGTCAAATACCGAACAAAAAAAAAATTACAACACAAACTTACTTTTCTGGTGACAGGTTGAGATGCCGTTGTTGAGACCGTAACGAGGTTAAATAGGAATTTAAACAGTCTAAATGTATGTGGTGGCCACAAGTCTGGACGTGAACGCCTCCATCCCAGCCCAAGTTCACAGACGAAAACCAGGATTGCTGAAAAAGAAACATCTTGAAACCATGGAATATTTCCCCTCCAAACAGACAAAGGATGAGTGAAAAATGACCTTGAAAATCTAAAACGTGATCTCATTGTTACTCACAGGGTCAAAGTGTCTGTCAAGTTCGTCCACCCGCCTGTCAAATTCGGCAGCTAAAGTGTCGTCCCTTCGAAGTTGATCTCTTTCTTCTTCACAAGTTGGTAACACCGCTCGTTCTGGTTGGCCATAACGACGTCTGTGGCCAATTACGCTCGTCGCTTGGATAAGAACTACTAGGCCCATCGGGTTGTCTTCTGTACTGGGCGAACTAGAGAAAAAAGTGGTGTCAATTAAACACTATTATGCAACTACCAATATTGAACAACTCAGCCGTTACAACGCGTTAAATGGCAACCCCGACTCACATCCTCCCACCTAGTGGCGAGACCTCAATTTACCAAGAAACTTACAGCGACAGGACAGTGTTGCCGTTTATTTGTTGTTTTTTCTAAGCTACATACCTTTGGTTGCAAATTACACAATCATATTCTTGTTTGCTGACTAGAACCTCCTCCTCCATATCTTCGAAATTCTCGTCGGTTTCCATCGCTTTCTGCATGAACTCCTTCTGTTTATTTGCGAACTCCGCCATTAATTTTTGCTGTCGTTCTTTAGCTCTTCGTCGCCTCTCTTCGCGCTCTTTGCTTTCCCTTTGTTTCTTCGCTTCTTCCCTTTCTTCTAACGTCGGCCACAACTTCATCCGAGTTTCCTGAAAAGCACAGAAGAACATACAGTTGCTTCTTCATGTGTTCGAAACGCTATTGAGCCGTGAAAGTTTAGTTTCACGTCACACTGTAACACAGCCTAATCGACTCTTCATCCTACCTGTATACTCTGTTTGCAAGAACTGTCGGCAGTCGCGATCCTTCTAAGCAATCTCGCGATATAATACGGGCCGTCACCTATAGGTGCTTCTTCAGACGGTGGACTAACACTTTCTTGTTCTTCATCTAGATTGAAGCTATCAGGTACTCCAGAAAGGTGAGAGTGTAGTTTCAGCAGCAGAGAGATTATACTCTCGTTCACTTTCACTGACGGAGGATTTGAACTCTGTAAAAACAAAAGGTACATTATAAATTGTCAAAGAAATATTAATTGCATTAAGATCTTTAGAACATTGCTAATAATAGGAAGACTAGCATAATCTTAGCATGCTAATTCAATGTTGTTTATTGTGGAAAATCTAACAACTGGAATTTTATAGCAGGGCGTCGATAATGATAATAACGATGACGATAACCACGACGATAGCGGTAACAATGTTGACGATAATAATGATAATTGTGACGATGACAATACTGATGATAATGACTATGCTAATGATAATAATGATGACGACGACGTCGATAATAATAATAATGATGACGAAGACGATGATAATAATGATGGCGATGACGCCGACGAAAATGATAATGATGACGATGATGACGACGATGATAATGATGACGATGACGAATTATAATAATTGATGATTACGACGATAATGATAATGTTGACGACGACTTTAATGATGGCGATGACGACGAAAATGATAGTAATGATGTCGATTATGATAATGATGGCGACGACGATAATGATAACAATGATGTCAATGACGACAATGATAATAATGATGACGTCGACGACGATGATAATAATGATGACGTCGACGACGATGATAATAATGATGACGACGACAATGATTATAATGATGACGAAGACGATAATGATAATAATGATGATGACGACAACGACGTTAATGATAATAATGATGAAGACGACGATAATAATAATGATGACGACGACGACGATAATGATAATAATGATGATGACAAAGATAATGATGGCGATGAGGATAATGATAATAATGATGATGATGACGACGACGGTAATGATAATGATAACGACAACACTCTTTGTTTCAAAAGCAATTTGTTTAGCATATATTTGTTGTTTTTAGTTAAATCCTAAAGATACTAATAAAACAAAAGTAAAGAATAAATTTACATGCAGTGATTTTCAAAATCAGTTTTGGTATACTTGAGTTTTGAGCCATGCCTTGTCAAATTTTACGTATATTGTCAGTTAGATATCAGGTAGCTGGTTGGGGACAGGACTTATTTTTCGAACGCAAAATATGAGTCGTTAGTATAGGTTATAGGAGAACTAGTCTAAACTATTATTACTTACCCCTACATGTCTCCTCCTAAGAGGGTAAGCTTTCCTATGGCTCTGTGATGTTGATGGAACTAAATCTGTGGTATGGTTGCTAGGATCCCAGTACGACCTTCCCAGCATGTTACCTAACAAGGCCGGTAATTGTCCCGAGGCAGGTAAAGCTCTTGCTTCTGTAGGTGTTGTTACATCTAGAACACACATTTGAAAGCACAGGTGTATAAAATAATCTGTTGCCACGAGTAATTAACTTGCAGCGCCTTAGACGCGCCACATAGGCGCCATATAGGTCGATAGATATCCTAAACCATTGCATAGATCCACTATTATGATCTTTTCTGCTGATTATTATTGTCTCAAATAAATGAGAGAAACTAACCGTAATTGTTATCGTCTCCTATAACGGCAACAACTCCTTCAACATCCATCGGTGATTCTACTGTAGGACTTGGAGTAGCATCTTCGTTTGTTGAGCCAGTAGCTGGTGGCAAGGCAGGTCGTGTAACTTCTACTTCCACCCAAACATCCATCTGTGAAGACAGTGAAAGATATGACTGGAATTTACAGACACTGACTGTCAATAAAAAGAAATATCCGATATTTAAATCACATACATCTTCCCTGTTGTCATGGGCTTCAGCAATCATTTTTCCAAGGGAAGGACTAAGCAAGCATAAGAAACTGCTCCCGAAATTCTTTGAACAGTAAAAACCAGCTCCGATAGAGGATGTCGTAGGAGGTATAAGTCCACAAAACTTTTTGAAGAGCATTAAGAGGTAAATTTTGCCTGGGGTGGCCAAATCATAAAGACCCTACCAAATGTTTTATGATTTACAAAAAATATACTTTTCCATATTAAATGCATGATATATTAAATGATACTAACTTATTTATGATGATATCTGAGGGTGATATCTCTAAAAGACCCTACGCACATATTTTTTTTGTTTTTGACAGGCTGTCGTTCCTGGTAGTACTAAATGACAGTTGTATGACATATGTGGTTAGTATAAGTCAAGTTTGATGTCAATATACACCAACAACACGTGAGTGCTCTTCAACAACTGTCCATGGTTGGGCGTCTTCCGAACGGAAGCTATACTACTAGCTTTTTTTTCGATCTGCCATCTGCAAAGGCCAACCCCGACCCATAAAAGTTATTTGTAAGAAAAATATATACAACTAACCTCTCGTGGAGAACGCTCAGCTACAGTAGTGGTAGTAGAAGAGCCCGTCTGCGGATGATCCCTGCTTTGCCCCTGGGAGCCTCCTGACGACGAGCCAGCGCCCGAGGACCTGTTAGCCGGTTGGAGCATCAACATGTCAAACCGCCTCAACGCTGTCGTTTTGCTCACCAAACTGACAGTTCCGCTGCCCCTATCGGCGCCAGCAGAAGATCCCACCGAGGCTCCAGGCGCGTCATCGTCAGGCGGCGACGAGGAGAAGTCTTCTGCATCTTCACTACCATCCCATTCCAAGTCACCTGATGTTTTCATACAAAAACGTCAATGAGTATGTGTATAAAAATCAGATGCAATTCTCATTTGATCTATTGACGTACGTAAACATATTTTATGTATTGTGACATGAACAAAGAATTTGAATTTGAAGATGGTGTCACCAAGACTCGTAGCTCTCAAAACTGGCCTAATGCCCGGTTACGCTAGTTTGATTTAGGCTGAATCTTAACCCCCAAAAATTCAAAATGAAAAACAATGTCACTCATTTCCGTCGGTTTGTCTGTCGGTATATCCGTCTATAAGTTCGAACTTTGATGACATTTTTACACAAGGTTTCTACTTTGAAAATCACGAATAAACTTTGTAATTTTTGAAAATCCGTCCAGTGGCGGCGGAGCTACAGACAAAGAACTAGAAAAACAATTACCCAATCTCCGTTTTTTGACCGTTCGAGAACATTTTTTGCAGGGGCTAAAAACTTGATATTGAGGGTTGTAGGAGGTGAGGGAAAGTGTATGTCAATTTCTTTGAGCTAGCAATTTATATGATTCGAAGCACGACAATTTAAGTTTCACCTCAACATCGGATCACCTTGAGAAAGGAGGTACAACCGGGAATAAATTGACATTCAAGTGGCGACTATGAATACGACTCAAGAGTCGCATAAAAAAAGGAGCATGCTATTTTTCTACTACTTACTATCTGTGTAAGCTTCAATGTGAGGTGAAAAATCAGGTTCAGATGATAAAGCAACCCTATTTATAACAGTTTTGATGTTATCGAATAGAGAATCTGCGGCGAACCAGTTAGCCAGATCTATGTCGTTGATTTGAGCTTGTGTTTTCGGTTCTGTTGAACAAATCTTCGTATCCTGCAAAGAAATTATTTTTACAGACATTATAAAGGAGTGATATAATTTTTTCAATCATTTTTGCATTTTGTAATTTCTAACTTACCTTGTTTTCATCCTGTTCTGATATCAAGACAGCTTGCTCTAAAAGAAATATAACCAGAGCCATGACATGTTCGGAAACCTGCCCTCTATTAGCCTGGTAAAGGATGACTAGAACAGCTGCATGAAATACTCTTGATTTCAGGATTTGCCTAGGATCTTCGTACGCTTCTGCTACATTTTCTGGCGTTCTGAATGGTGGCCAAGGACTGACGCCCGGTTTCAGTTTGTTAGCGTGCCTCAAACTGAAAAAATAGACATTTTGTTTAGCGTAAGCTTTATCCAAAGGCTTTCTTCTCGCAATTGTTATCAAAACTTTCATAACTATGAGATTCATTCAAACGACTGGCAGTAATTATTGACAGGTCCGATCTTAGTGTCTGAAGTGCCATCTACAACTAGTCAACGTTGAACCAAACAGTAGTTATACTAAGAGAACACTGCGTCGGTCAGCTTCATTGACCTTGAGGTTGACCTGCATTACTGTTTTTCAACAACAACCAAAAGAAAACAAAAGCGGTTCGGTCATAGCTTGGCATCTGCCAAGGTACCGCTCTTCGTTTCACGATTTGATCATAGATGGCTAAACATCTACCGAGACAGTGTTGCCAGACTGACAGAAAACGTTTAGAAACTGCTACATTTATACTGAGCTGAATGAAAGTTCTATCCGCAGTTTTTTGTGATTCCAGAAACAGAAGGTACCACCTACAGAGCTCAACTTTATCAGACAAATTGCTCAACGCGGCAGCTACTTGGCCCTGCACACACACATGAATTGTGTAACAGATGGAAGGTGATTTTCATTCGCTTTTTGAAAGCAGTCCAAAAAATTAAATACGGAATGTCAACATTGTAGATGTAACTTCATGCATTGCTATCTTTTATATCGGAAATTAACAAGAGATGAACTCAAATCGCACGACCATAACGAGCAAGTTATTATATAAATAGTGGTAAACATAAATGCGAGACTTTTACGTTGACGAGAAAAGCTTTACGGCGGCGAGACATAACTATAAAAACGTATGTCTATTTAACCATACATCCATGTCCCTGTGTGAGGGACATGGATGTGTGAAAGTAATTCCTGTTGTTTTTCCGTTTTATTGTGACCCACCAAAAACCATGAAAAGACCTATAACAATTGTCTTATTGTTACATATTCCCTATATTCATTTTCCAGAATATGATGTACACTCTTAGAAAATGTATGACTCAGCACGCTATTTACTTATTGCATTTTCAAAAATGTGATTGCAAGTTCTAATAACTGATTGAAATTATAAGAATTCTATGGACTCTGAGATCCATTGTTTAACATCAAAGATTATAAGAATGTCGACTATTTTTTGTGATTGCTCTGATCGATATGCTTGCATAAATATTTTGTACGGTATAAGGTATGCATTGAAGGAAAAATATATTTCGTAGGCTGCAAATGATAAAACAATCATAAATAAATGTCCAAACCAAAGTAAATTTTAACAGAAAAATGCTAAATATTTCGCTACAAGTGATGCACAATGAATTCGTCCAAAAAAGATTATCTATCTGACAACACCTCATGTTATAATAATAACAATAATAACAACTACTATTTGGTTGAGCGAAGACTAACGCAAGTGTGTAATTAATGGAATCCAATTCGTCGTTGATTCGTGGTTAAATTTGGTTTAAAAGATTGACTCAGTTCAATACAGTTAGCCATATTAAAGTAATACAAATACCAATACTCACTATTCAGTGTACCGATCCATGGATGTCTGGAAATCCCTACGATGCACCGCTCTTAGCAACACGTGGATAGGGTCGTACCTATGCTCCCAGACCTTTGCTTTCGGCACGTACATGCCCTGTTGCATATTACCGCTGGCCTCAAGAGCTGGAGCTCTATAATCGGCCACTTCGGCAAGTAGCGCTTCGAAATCGCGGCTTTGGGAAGTCCCGCAACGTTCAGGCATCAGTTCCATCAATTGCGAGTGGGTCTTGTCGCCCATGCAGAGTAAAGTTACCATTTCCAGACGGTTCAGAGCGGTCTCGGACAAACCTAGAAGCGGTTAGAGTAATTAGTATCACAATATAGAAACCTAGGATATAATTGTCAAGTTGAAATGGACAAGTTTGCTATGGGGAAACCTTCAGACGATGTTTTACGCTAGTCACATAGAAAAAGCAGAAGAATTATAATATTTTTTTTAATAATATTTATTTATTCACTCAATGTACAAAGATAACAAACAATATGAGTAAATAAATATAAAATCAAAACAGGCCCAATAGAAGGCATCGCCTGTACATGGACCAATAATTTTAAGTTGCAACTGTAGAATGCAAATGACAAAAAAGGACAAAATTAGCTACAGTAGCTTATGTATTTACTTGATGTTCGTATTTATGAGTTTATGAATTTCAGTCCTAGATATAGAATGTAGCCACTTTTTTAAATTTCTTTTGAAACAATTTCCGAAACGTAAATCTTTTAAATCTTTAGGTATAATTTCATAAAATTTTTTATAATACCTTTTTGAAAAACATCTAAATTATAGATATGTGAGAAACATGCAGCTCCCCATGCTAATATACCATATGTGAGATGAGGCTCAATCAGTGCATGGTATAATGTTCGACGGTATTTTTCTGTCAATATATTCCCAAAGGTATTTAATTTTGTAGGATACTAATCTAACTTTCTTTAAAATATAATTGACATGGATGTCCCATCGTAAGTGAGGATCCAAGACCACTCCAAGGTATTTTATGTTGGGCACTGTATTAATTTGCATTTTTTGATCATTAATGTTGAAGGGAAAATTTGTGTAATTTGGCAGATGTTTAGCATAAGATCCAAATGGTAAAAAATGTGTTATAGAATAGTTAATGCTTAATTTTCTACTGTTAAACCACCGAATAATTTTGATAATATCATTTTCAATTACATTTTTCAGATCAGACCAGTCAGTGCCTTCATATAATATTGCAGTATCATCTGCAAAACTGGTGATTTTGCGAACACAATTAATTTGGTAAATATCATTTAAATATATATTGAATAATAGCGGACCTAAGACAGTTCCTTGTGGAACACCACACTTAATATACATTTCTTTACTAAACGATCCTGATATCTTGTGGGCGATTTGACAAATAATTTTAGATCAGTGAGTACGCGTTTCCTCTGAAACCAATTCTCTCCAATGCTTCTAATAATAATTTGTGATTAACTGTGTCGAAAGCTTTCTTTAAATCAACAAAAATGCAGATTGAAGAGATTCTGTTATCAATATCTTGATGAATTTGATTTACAATTTTAGTAATTGCGTCCGATGTAGCCTTCCCTTCTGTAAATTCATATTGATTTTCACTTAAAATTTTGAATTTTGTGAGGTATCGAATCATTCTAGTAGATAAAACTTTTTCAAAAACCTTTGCTACACTGGATATTATTAATATTGGTCTATAGTTGTTAACATCTGTTTTTGTTCCTGATTTATGTATCGGTATTATATTACCTTTTTTTAAAATTGAGGGATATATGCCAGATTCAAAGCATTTGTTGATTAGGTAAGTGAGTGGTTCTGTTATGTCCTCGGCTATAATTCTCAAATGCCCGCTTTTAATACCATCGAACCCAGGACTTTTTCGATTTTTTAAGGACATAACAGTGGTCTATACTTCACATTGCTCGACTTTATCCCAAATAAATGAGTTCAAAGATCTTTTTGGATGCTGAGTATTGGGTGCTTGAATATTACTTGCTAAATTTTCGCCTATGTCAGTAAAAAATTGTAAACATTCATCACATATTTGTTGAGTATTTATTTTTTAATACTGTTCCCGATGATGTATTTAACTCAGTGACACACTCTTTAAATTTTGATTTCCCAGTAATCTCATCAATAGTTGTCCAAAGCCGCTTAGGATCATTTAAGTTATTATTCAATTTATTTAGGTAAAGTTTTCGTTTGGTTTGCCTTGCAAGCTCTATAAATTTATTTTTATATTGGTCGTAGCAGTCGATATTCTCTCTAGTTGGCGTTAGTTTCATTACATTTTACAGTCTTTCTTTTTCTATTGCCGATGTTATTAATCCCTTGGTAATCCAGGCATTTCTGCTTTTCTCTTTGTGACTAATTATTATTACTTTATTGGTACTAATATCTATTAGTTTTTTATTTTCTCTATGAACTGTCCCGTTGCTTTGTCTATATTATTTATAGAGTATAATTGTTCCCAGGATTCTTGTTTGACATTTGATATTAGTTTTGAATTTTCGACAAAAAATTTGTAATTTTCCTGGTTGTTATTAACGGTAGGGATGTTAGAATGTTTTTCATTTGAAGATATCAGTAAAATAGTGGAGAAGTGGTCAGTAATATCGCTTTCTAGGATTATCGGTATACAAGTAATTTTGTTGGATAGGTCTTTCACAAAGCAGTGATCTATAGATGTGCCACTGATGGACCTTGTAGGAAGGTTTATATAGGACAGAAATCCGTTACTTGATAAGATATTCAAGTATTCATTTGTGATGGAATCATCGTCCAAAATATTTATATTGACATCTCCCAAAAAAATATGTTGCTTTAAATGAACGTTATTTTGATTTTGAAAAAAAAATTCGATATTCTTTAAAAACTCGTGAGGTTCTGAACATGGCGGACGATAAATTACAGAAACCTCAATTTTGTTATGGTTAATTTGGATCATTATGTTTAAAATTTTGATTCCATCGGTAAAAGTGAATGTATCATGATTATATTGAAGTTTATTTCTTACAAAAACTATCACCCCATCGTTTTGGTTATAAGTACCAAAGTTATACAGCGTGTCATATCCCTGCCGAATGAAGCAAGAAATATCAACCACTTGCCACGTTTCAGTTAAAACTATTAGATCAAAATTGTACCATATTTGGTAATTGAGAAATAAAATCGTAAAATAAGAAATAGACCTCGAGTTCGTAGTTCAATGAATCGTCGAGTGAGAAGGTGTACGGAAATCGATGGTGGACGTTTACAACATTTGTTGTAGTGTACTTTATGACATGGTACCTGTTGAAAAAGTTGCAGTAACACTCTTAGAAATTTCTTTGATTTTTTGTTTTCCAATGCACTTGTGATTGTTTAGCAAAAATTTTGTCCAGTGACATGCAATAAAACGGCTTTTATTTTTTTCATAATTAAAAAATTAACGTACCTAAATTAGTTCTGACGCTGATAAGGGTGGCCAAAAATGTTAAAAAGCTTTCTAACATCGGCGTATCGTGTTCTCCAAATAAGTAAACATTCTGTGGACCTTGAAACGAAGCTGAGCTCATCCATTCTTTTATATGAAACCTGGAAAAAAATAAAAGTATGCAATTGCTGCACTGGTGAAGAGATACTGATTTTTTATGTTTAACTTACTTTTCGATAACAGTTTTGAGGAAATTCTCGGCAGGTATCCTAGTTGAACAGATCTGCAGCAAATACAGATCAGCGTCTACCATGGAATTGCAGAAATTGCACTGGATGTATGTCATGGCCTGTCCTTTTATTTGTAGACCATTCCTTACCCATAGTCCGTTCAGAATTTCGTAAAAGGCGACCTGCAACAACAATATGGCATGAAGTTGGCAACAACACAACACCAAACAACTCCAAAAACAATTTTCTTGTTTTTTACACCGAAGCAGCCAGAAGCCTAAATGCACACCGCGGCTGCTATAAGGAGCTTAAAGAAACTTTGTTAACCCGATTTTTGACCCGCCTAAAATTGGTAGAACTGCGAAAAGCATCCTCATGTAGATTGTTCCACAATATCGATACCCTAGGGACAAAGGAGCGGTCGTATCGACCGGTTCTAGATGTACGAAGTTTAAGATTTAAAATTCGCGAATCCTAGTCTACAATGCTAAGGTCTTCTTACGATAGGTGCGCTTCTTTGCTTTCTTGCTCCCTTCCTTTCTGCCTTTAGTAATATGGCATCTGATCTCGTATACTGAATGACCGATAAAACCTTTACTAAGAGTAAGGTTTTGACAGGCTATGATAAATACATTGAGACAGTTCTAACAGATCGAATGATTATTTTATTAGATGCTCCATACACTGTATTCATAAAACAAAGGATATCCTTGTACTTGCAAATTTTGAAGAAAATCCTCCAGATGGTATTTATAATAATTTGAAGTAAATACTTTTGCTTTTTGAGTATAAGCATATCCTTCAAAGCAGTGACATAAGTAAAATGAGATTCCTTCAAAAATTCTGATTGTGGTCAGTAGCAGACTCAATTTCGTAACGAAAGGTGGTCAAACGATGATCGCGGAAATTGTGGATTTTAGGGATGTTAAAACGTACAAACCTCGTTTACCCTCACTTGGGCGTGACTTCAAAAAATTATATCGGTTCGACGAAGCAAATGTACAATGGCTTGCGGACAGATTTCTAGTTGAGAATGAGGAAACTCGAGGAGGAGCATTTTCATGTATTCATAAAATGAAGATTTGTCTACGCTATCTGGGTGACCCTGGATATCCACAAGGTATTGGTCAGGAACTTGGTGTTGTTAGTCAAGTAACCCGGTATCTCGGACTGTGGATATAGTTGTGAACAGCATAGTTGCACAGTCGAACACTACCAACCTGAATGGCACCTCTAATTTTCCAAATTGTAGGATTACAGTCACCTTCCATAGCTTTCAGCAACTTTCTTTCCCAACAATTTAATTGCTTTATTACCAGTTTTTTTTAGATCTGTTTTTTCTTCAATCTTGATTTCATGTTGTCGATTTTTTTTAATAAGCCTTTAGTATTTAATGGTTTACCGAATGGTGTATTTTTTCAACATCTTCTTCAAGGCATCGTCCTTTCTCATTTTTATTTTTGGAACTTGTGACTTTTGCAAAATAATGGGAGCAATGGCAATTTCATCCGCGATGAACTGCAGGTTGTTGCCATTATTTTCTATAGTCTCCTCATCACTTCAGGATGACATGCTCATTAATTTGATAAAAAAACTGTATCAAGTAAAAATACAGAACGATCTGTGTACGCTCTAGAGTACAACTGTCAGTGATGCTGAGTGAACGAACTCCCACGTCAACTACAAGCTGGAACAAGTCAGGACATGTCGCTCAAGATATACTAAGTGACATATAAATCCGAACACCCAGTTTAAATGGTTTTATTTTAATAAAAGTTGGTGAATGTATTTATCTTACTGTAAATAACAAGTGAAAAAATTTTCAGCCTTATCAGTTGGACATTCCGGTAAAGAAGTGTAGACACTGTGGTTAGGTGTTGTCAGGCATGGCTTCGAGAAGGCCGTACGCAAAGACCAAGGGGCACTGGACGCCGCCGTAGAACAACAGACCGTGAAGATCGCCGCCTAAGATTATTGGCCTTAAGGGACCGTTTCTCCACTACCAGGTCCATTGCAAATGAATGGTTTGCAGAACCCGGAAGACCTATTGGCATGCGAAGTGTATACCGACGAATGAGAAGTTTTGGCTTGTTTTCATACCGGCCACACTGGGTCCTCCCTTTAACTCGAGAACACCGACGTAATCGCCTTGAGTGGTGCAGACAACGGTCACTCTGGGATCAGGAATGGAACAGTATTGTCTTTAGTGACGAGTCTCGATTTTGTTTAGGCATGCACGATGGTCGTACCAGGGTTAGAAGGCGACGTGGTGAAAGGAGGAATCCACAGTTTTTTGTTGAAAGACATGTTCATCACACTGTTGGAGTTATGGTTTGGGGTGCTTTAGCTTATGGTTCCAGGTCACCTTTAATCTTCATCAGAGGTAACATGAACGCGCAGCGTTATATCCACGAAGTTCTAGAACCCCATCTTTTACCCTATCTTGACACCCTGGCAGATCCAACTTTCCAACAAGATAATGCCCGACCACATGTTGCAGGAGTGACAATAGACTTCTTTCAACATAATGATGTCACATTGTTACCATGGCCACCAAGATCTCCAATTGAGCACGTGTGGGATATGATGGGTAGGAGATTGCTCAATTTGCAACGTCCTCCTCAGACTCTAGAAGCACTTCGAGAGGAGTTGGTGGTTGCCTGGAATGAGATACCACAGGAGGACATTGACCACCTGATCAGAAGCATGCCTAGGCGCGTTGGAGAATGCGTAGCACATCAGGGTGCATCCACACATTATTAAAGGTCAAAGTGCTTTAAAGCAGTGCAATCATTTTGAAATTTTTATCATTTACTTATTATGCTTCATTAAGTACTTATACAAAATTTTAATAAAATAAAACCATTTAAACTGGGTGTTCGGATTTATATGTCACTTAGTATACAAATACCAGTCAACCTTTTACTCCTTCTTGGAGGATATCCTCGCGAGTATAAGGTAATCATTATGAATATGAAAACAAGGATATGCTTATACTTCTACCTTTTTCTCCGAAGCACGACCTTATACTTTTTCCTTATGCTTCCGAGGATATGCTTCTCTTTTAAGAATACGGCTCAATGAAAAAATACGGACCTGGATATTACACGTATCGCTTATTATTTTCTAATCATTTACGAGTTAAAGTTGTTTGATTCGCTAAGCATTAAAGTATGAAAAATTATGTATTCGCATGTAATGTAACGTAAAAAAATGTAACTGAATGAACGACTGTTTGAATAGCCAGATGTTTGGATGTTTACTCACTAAATTTCTTCGAACATAAGTCTAACTGGAAAAAGGTGTCTTTGACCACGAAACCGGTCATCAGGTACAACGAAAAGAACTGAGCAAAAATAAATCTTTCATCGGTTTTTAATCAGGCATCTTATCCCATTTAAATTGTGTGGGGTGTTACATTGTTGGCGTGATTGATGTTTCAAAGATAAGATCCTGAAATTCGATTCCCGTTCATTTGGATTCCGAGCAACTTTTGAATAAAGGGCACCAGATTTTGTTTCAAATTCAGGTAAATCTTGTGGTTGTTCACATGATGAAGCTTATTTTGTTATATCCGCCAAAACTTTTCCTAAAATTCTGGCTGTTATGAATAGAGTCCTATTTTCGGAACAAGCCGATGTTTGACTTTTAACACAACCTTCCGCCGTAGCCAAAGCAGAAGGATGTTTTAATCAGAAATAATAAATGTTTGTGCCTCCGGATCTACTTAGATTAGGTAGAAATTACTGTTTTAATGCATGAACCGAAACTTGTTAAAATTAGCTAAAACGTTAAAATAATCTAATGAGTATGAATACCTAAATCTAATTAAGTAGCAGAACAGTAGATTTGTCCTGGAGGATTCAATATTTGACATTATGGTTACTGGTACTAACTGCCAGTATAACAGATAATTCAAAGGAACTACTTGTCACAAGCTAAAAAAATATGGACTAAGAACCACTAGTCAAATACGTATGTATGTCAACACCACTTAACACCTTTTCACTGTTAGATGACTTTGACTGCATGTTCTCTCTTTAGTCGTTACTTTTTACTTACTACCCCATTGGGCGAGGAAGTATTGTAATCACGGAAAATTGAGAGATGAGATATTATGTTTTTTGGACGTTATATGACATGACAAAAGCTCAGTAGTTTTTGGAAAAAATCAAAAACACTTAAACTTTTTCGACGATCAGAGGATCTTGACTGATTCTGGAAATTTTTTTTAAGGGTGGGAGTGGGCCTATTTTCTCACCCCTTAGAACTGTTTCAAAAATAATCAGGATCCTCTGAAACGTCTAAAAATTTCAATGTTTGGAGGCTTTTTAGTTTTTCCTCTGTTTGCCTTTTTCCTCCGCTGTCACTGGACGGATTTTCAAAAACTAGAAAACTTTTTCATCCTTGGCTTAGTAGTAACCTTACGTGAAAATTTCATTCAAATCCGAGCAGTACTTTCCTAGCTATGGACAGTCCAAGACAAGTTATAAACGGACATACAGACAGACAACTAAGTGAAATGTTTTTTTTGTGATCTGCATGTCATACAGGGTGTAAACGTTATGGTAATCATTATTGAAATGGGTAATATGGGGGATCAAAACAAGTCAAAAAGTTCATATATGACCCATGATCCAAAAGTCAATAGATTTTTGTCTAAATGGCTTTATACTTTACAACTTTAAGTGCTTTATATCGACCGCGATTTACCACAATGTTACTAATTTTTATATATATAATCTAATCTAAAACGTTTTTAAATTGGGTAATTAACAAATAAATGGCATTAAGTTTTTCTAAGTTAAGCCAAAATTTGTAGTCAGTCAGTAACTAAGTTTCATTAAATTAAATATTTAAAACACACATGACAACAGCGCGTCGGTCATTCATCACTCTTATCGAACCGGCAGTCGATCGCAAACGGTAACAGTAGTTATTTATTGTTCGCGTACGTCGTCGTGTTTATTTACAATTTTCTCGAATCAAGAGTTCGCCGACATGTTGCTAGTTTACGGTGAAGCCCGTCAGAATTCAAATCTTGCAGCTCAAATTTATCGTGTACACCCAGACAGGACATTTGTGCAAGTGTACCAAAGACTTCGAGATACAGGAAGTGTTCAGCCCACTAATCTTCGCACTCGTGAAAGACAGGTTACTGTAGAGCAGGAGGAACAAATTTTAAATACCGTGGAATCAACGCAGATATCAACATTCGGGAATTAGGCTGCCGCGTAGGACTATCGCATACCATAGTCCATAGAATCCTATGGGAAAATTTGCTTTATCCCTACCATGTAAAACGAGTGCAGGCCTTGTTACCAGAAGACTATCCTCGCAGACTAACATTCTGTCAGTGGTTTTTGCACAAAAACATTGAAAATCCGGATTTTTTTAGAAACATTCTAGCGACGGACGAATGTACTTTTACGCGAGACGGGATATTAAATTTCCATAATACTCACACGTGGGCCCAAGAAAATCCTCTTACCATTCGTGAAGGTCACTTCCAACACCGTTTTAAAATAAATATTTGGGCGGGTATTCTTGGCGATCAGGTAATTGGCCCTTTCGAGTTACCCCCAAAGTTGTCATTAGAAGGATACCTTAGCTTTCTAGCCAATAACCTACCAGAATTTTTGGAACAGACCTTAGACAACATGCCATTAGAACGGAGACAGAATTTGTGGTTTCTTCATGACGGGGCACCACCACACATTTTTAGAGGCGTCATTCAGTATTTGAATGAACATTATCCAAATCACTGGATCGGCCGAAATGCTCCTGATCCTCGAAAATGGCCAGCAAGATCTCCTGACCTCAACCCGATGGATTTCTGGTATTGGGGAGAACTTAAAGGGATGGTTGATGGGGCTGGTCCAATAACAACTGAAGCACAACTTCGCGAAAAAAAATTTAATGCTGCTGAAATAATAAATGGACAACTTCGAGGACCTAGAGTAAGATGAAACTGGGTTCGTCGTAATGAAGCTTGTGTGGAAAGTGGAGGACGACATTTTGAACACCTTCTATAAAGACAAAAAAGTGCAGTGTGGGTTTTAAAAAGAAAAACAATGTATCTATCAAAATTGTGTTCTCTATTTATAAGTGGATTTTTTTAATACGTTCAATAAATTTTCACACATCAGGTGAAGCGCTGAGACAGTTAGTGGTAAGTCCGTTTTTTTAATTGTTTGCATTTTACGAGTACATTATCAAATAATGAAATAATACCTAAGAGACAAAAATAACAAACTCAATCTTTATTTACACTGCGTTCCGTCGTAATTTGCGTCTTGGACTTCAGATTTTATATTACTTTAAATTCGCTTTTCTCTAAAAAAATACCGTTTTGACCCCCATGTTATATGAAACTTTTTGCTTCTTTTAAACCCCTCTATCACCCATTTAAATAATGACTATCATAACGTTTACACCTTGTATAACATCTAACATAGTAAATGAATTGTTTCGCGATTACAATACTTCCTCACCCAGTGGCGTGTGAAGCAAAATCTTTTGAATTCAAGTATATTTTACGATGCAGTATGACCCTGAGCACTATGTGTGGATGGGAATCCCAGACGACGTTCGTTGACACCCGCTATGCATAAATGATAGTCAACCAACTCGACTCCATTTTTAACACAAAATCTTGCGAATCCACTTGTGCCGCATGTGCAGTACGACCCTGAATACCGTGTTAGTGGGGGAAGCCCAGACGTCGTTGGTCGTACCTCGCGGCGTACGCGACCGCTGAACGCCAAACGGTTACAAAACAAATGAGCGCGAGTTGTGCCGCGGCAGCAGACACTCGCGGATTGCGCTCTTTCTCCGATCATTTCACTCTCCCGATCTGACACCAACAGACCAAGTTCCATCTACCGGTTTCGCGGCCTTCAAAATTGTTACCAAGCAATGCAGTGCTGATCGCAAATCAACATGTCAAAATATCTCTTCTTCTGTCTCTTCTGCCTGAGCATCAGCTCAAGCAACGGTTTCGGACCCAACGATGTCATGGACATAATCAAAATCGCCAAAGACGTAGCGGTAGTGCTGGCCAAAGCTTGGAATATCGTCGATCCGCATGTCGATTTTGCCGAAGTACCTTTGCCGTTGATAGACAAAACGGAGTCTAAACTTTTTGGGAAGATCGCTGTTATCACTTCGAAACTGGATCAGCTGGCTGATAATGTCGAGTCTGTAGGTAGGTTAAGTTTTTACTAAACGTACTTGCGGTAAATACATGTGCGATATCGGGTCAAAAATCGCGCGAAAGGTGCGTTTGTCAGCTATACGCATTGTTGTAAGTTAACTCTCATATACTCACTTACTATGCACAGCACGGAATGGGGTGCTTTCTAAAATCGTTTGTGTTGAATTGTAATTATTTAGTGTAAGAGAAGAAGGCATCTATTGGAGCAAAGGATATGTATATTGACCGATACATTGCACTACAAAACACGAACCTACGATTATCCAATTGTTATGAATTAAAAGACAATAGAATGCATTCGTTCCACATAATCGACTTGTTAAATTTGAGCTTGTACTTCTATTTACGGTTTCAGTACAGCTTATGTCAACAGTACTGTCCGTTACACTTTGTTGATCAGCACTACTTTCAATTTTACTATCCTCGGACGGAAGGTAAGAAAACGGTCGAAAATATGGCCAATCCAAAACCTAGACGTTATTTTGACTTTCGCAGAATCCGTTAACGTAAGAAAAACTGTTATTGTGTTTATTAAATTGTACTGTTACCAAATGAAACTCGTTCAGATCACAACTATGTTATTAGGACACAAATATCCATAAACGAAATCCCTAGAAATGTGTATTATTCAGTAAAGCCGAATGTGTTACTTTATATCTGGTTAAGAAGTGAGGCATTACCGAGTTAGCGCTTTTATCGCCCGAAGCGCTAGTTATCTAACTTTTTCTTATATGGTGGCAGCTGCAAAGGCGAAGCCTAAATACCGAGTGAAAAAAAAACAGATGCAATTGACAAATTCACCCTCTTCCGGTTCTCCAAAAAGAAACCAGATAAGAACCAGTAATGACTGGACGAAAATACAAAAAAACACTAACAGTTAATCACAACTGATCTGACAGTTGATTTTTAACCACCTACCTGAATATTACACTTTTGCTTCTCCAGGCAGGGTTGAATGAGTTGTACAACCTCATTGCATTGAAACCAAAACATTTTTAAAACAATGCGGTGTAGGGCAAAGGCACTGTAAAGTTATTATTGTGTCTCAGATCTCTAAGATTAATGGTTCCTTCAGTTATCAATTTTCCGATACAACGTTGTGACGTTGGTAGGCAATTTTAGTCAAATGAGTCAAAAGTAAGCACTAAAACTACGCATTTTTTGCAACAATGTAAACATATAGGCTTGGATTTTCAGACTTCAATATCTTAAAGCTCTTTCATAGAAGATATTTTTGCTGACGATAATCAAATAGAACGCTCTACATAGCCTGCAAGTGCGTTTGCACTAATATAAAAACACATGAATGCGTTCTCTGAATACAAGGTCATTAACATCGGTCATTTCCTTCCGATGGTTACAACGATTATCTTTTTTGTTTTGTTGGTTCGGTCTTTATACCATTATCAATTTAGTTAATTTCAGCAAGAACTATCTCTATCTGTTTCATAAGAGCTTTTTATCATACATTTACTGTCAAATAAGAATAAAGGCCGATTTATTAACTCGACGTTCGTCGTTGCCGTTGATGTTTAGACTTGGCCAAGTTCTTAACTTGTGCACCAATGCTAGTTATGACAATCACAGTAAGCAATTTTCACTTTGAGATTGAGGTAATGTATGTTCCAAGTTCCTGACAACGACCAACGGCGAGTTTGTAAATCGACCTAAAGGCTCGCCATCCGGCGACTTGTCAAGTTTACTTCGCACGTATGTGACACGTACAAAAAGCATTACGCTGATTATTTAAACACCTGCTTATTTTTTATTTCTATCTGAACTACGTTCCACGCGTGAACGATATATACAGCTTTATCACTACATCTTAATGTTAACTGATAACAACTTGAGTGCATTCAATTCACAGAGAGGTAACTTGATAAATAAAGATATTTTCTACTATATGTTTATCTAAACAGATCTCTCTGGGATTCAGACAAGCGAATTCAGATCAGGTAGAAGGAGTCTGTCGAGGATTCGCTCGTCCATTAATTCTCATAGTTTGTAGTTAGGATCAAAGTAACTTGACTTAAGTCAATTTTTTGACAGTTATGTCATTAAATTCGAATATTTACTATTATTTTTTAAAAGTGTGAGCATGCTGCTTTCTTAAATACTTCCTTACATAATTGTGTGTTAAAAAACAGCAACCGCTGGAAACTGAAAACAATCGAGAGTAAAAAGAGTGCTTGATAGATTGCATAAAATAAAAAAAAAACTCATAAATCATATGAAAATTATGCTTGCCAAAATACTCTGATAATGCCTAGGTTTAATATTTTGTAGGGGAAATCGGGGAAGTATTTTTAACAGCACTGAATGACAACAAATCCCTGGAGCACAAGAAAAAAATTCAAGAAAGTTACAGACCTATTCTGGTCAATTTGTACAATTACATGAATTACGTGAATTTGAAAATAATAAACGCGGAAATATACGACATGGGTATGTAAAACAGTAGAATGTCCCTCGCAACACCTTGTAAATAATACCCAAGCATTTTTCATCGCAGAAACTACAATTTTTACTTATAAGATCCTTCTGAAACTGGATGGACGGTATTGTGAATCATCATTAGCATTTTTAATACATCATGCATATGCATTTATAGTGCTCTATTCTAATCCATAGATAAACATAAGTTTACCGAAGAAACCTTGAGTATGTCGACGTGAATGGTAGCATACTGCTCAGAGCTTCCTCTTCTATCTCTGCTTTCTTGACATCATTCCGCTTATTTCCTTAGAAAGGTTTTGGTACTTCATAAGCGTTCATACAGACTTATTTTGCCCATACATACAAATGTTAACCTTCTGTGTATTCTGCTTATAGCTCCGACAACACCAATTTTCAAAAACAAACCAGCATTATCTTCTATGTATCACCGTTTCTCAGATTCATTAAAATCGGTGTAGCCATTTCCGAGAATTTAAAAACGCCATGGAAATATGGAAACGAATGTCTGGGGTTTTCGTCACTTTCATACAATGAACATTTCATTATGTATTCGCGCAAGTCTTCATTTTTTTGACAATGGAGCAAGCACGAAGGCAAAGACTAAACGCCGAGGTACCGAGACAGACGTAAATAAGTTAAATACACTATTTTTAGTTATTTTTTGAACTGCCGGGCACAGCAACAAGTAATCGAATCAGCTGCACCCATGACGTGTGAACAGTATTCAGAGCTGGGTTTTAACCACGTCATGTACAGAACGAGACAGTCAGAAGGCGAAAAGCATTACCTAGCTATAATCCGACAACTAAGCTTTTTCTCAGACGCTGTTGTTTTTCAGTAATCTGAACTTCGACAAGCCGAAATGAATGACTTTAGGAGAAAAGTAGTCAAGGTCGGAGGTGAAATTTCTCCTCAACCTGTGGGCGAATAACCACCATTCAGAAAGTGAGGGTATATCAGCTTTCTTTCAAAATGTTTCAAAAACGTTTATCAACTTTCGAGGCAAATATTCCACACACCGGACGGCAGGTTCTCAAATTTTTAAGTAATATTTTAATGCTCATCATTGGAAGTCCCCACTACCGATGGTATACTGTATATGTTTCAGCAACGATGCAGTTTTGTCTAGAATCATCAAGCATGTTTTCTAGCAAAAATTACGCATAATAGTACTATCTTCGCATTCAATAGGGAAAATATTATGATTCGGTTTTTTGCCATCTTCTTCACTTATCATTTTTAACAAATCTTGCTGTTGCATGTTAAACATTGTTTATACAAATATAAGTGATTTGATATTTGAAAAAGTGCGAGAGATGCAATTTTCGACCCCGAAAAAACAAAAATGAATGAAATAGCGAAAATTATAATGACGCCTAAAAAATAATCTTCAGACATCCATTAACAAAATCCCAAAGCATTTAAGGTGGTGTTGTTACAGCTTCAAATATATGACAACACAATATCTTGAACGTAGAAATTCAAAATATTTATATACTACCAAATGCAAGTACCACCTCCAGACACAGCATTATGTCGTGCAAGCATTAAATTGCAGCAAAGATACCCAACCTAATCCTATATTCGCGCGTCCTGAGAATCATCCAAAATGAAATCAGATACCGTAGCGTCATCAATGCGAACACTGAACAGCTATCTTTCTCATCTCCATAATAATTAGGAATTATCTTTAAAAAAGTTAGTGTCTCATAGATGGCGTTGTGTCCAACGACATATACATGAGCATACTCGTATATGTACAGCGCTATCTACCTATTCAAAGTAATAAAGTAATAAAACCATACCTCGATTATTATTGCAAATACATTTTTATTTTAAGTAAGATGAGATACTAAAATTTGAAATCAAGGAATTGAAATGGCGGAGTGTTACCTTAAGGTATTTTTCGACTCAGTTAAAGTTAAATTAACAATAATGAATAAGAATAGAGTCGTACAATAACAAAGAAATACTTAGGATTTGTGACCATTGCCTAATAGTCTATACAAGTATGAATACATGTTTAGATTTCAAGTCAGTTAATATAAAATCATAAAACCCATATGATACAACTCGATAAATCGTATCGCTAGTCTTATTCTAGGTGAAATTTTTAAATTTGATCTTATATTATTAACAGGCAGAAGAGGTGGATAGAAGAAGCATTAGTTTTAATATTTCCTTGAAATTCATCAGTAATTGAGATACCCAGCTGGTAGATTGTTGTATGTTTGGCTGCAGTGTATGGAAAGCTCTCCTTGCGTAATGATATAAAGTGGTAGATATAACGAGAGATTGACTATTTCTCGTTGATAACTTGTTAACGTCGTCAAATTTTTGTTGTTTATTGAAAATGTATTGTGGTTTTTTCTTCAATAAGGTCTTATAGATATTTGATTGTATGGACGCTGAGATTGTCTAGATTCAAGTTTCCGTGGTCATAAACATAACTTATATAATACTAAAACGATAATGTACACAAGAATTTTGAAGTCGCTGCAGCTTGAACTTATCACTTTGCAACAAAGCGTGACTTTGAAGTTGAGTCATTAATTTTCAGATAATGATTGTAGAAGGAAGATAAACCAAAATATGTGTGTAAAAATATAATAAAAATTAAAAAAAAATGTTTACCTTGTTTTATAAAGTATCCTCCCGACAAGTATTTCAGTGCGGACCTGTATTTGATCGTGAGGTCTTGGAGCACCGGCATGAAGTCCCCTGTGAGGTCTTAAGTCACCTGATTCACGAGCCCGTTGTACTACATTAACAAAGGCACGAGGGGTTGGTTGCACTCGATTGGGAAACCGATCCGCATAAATATGTGCCACTTTTTATTTCGTTTGAGCCACGCAGCAAACACCACTATTCACTCACGCGTTACCGACTGACACAGACTAAATAAAAACATCGTGATCAGCGTTTCAAATTCTTTCGCTTTTTTGTTTCCGATGCGATGAACCGATAAGGCGGAGTATATCCGTTGTCGCCAAACACGAGCACATAATATTATTATTGAGACAGGGCGGTACTCAAACTTCGAAAGGGCTATAACTTTGTTACTTTAATTTTACCACAAAAATGTTAAAGGAAAAAAACATTTCTTTTGATCAGATCTACTCACTGTTAAAATAAATGACTCAACTTCGAAGTATAGCGTCACAAAAATATATCTAAAATCTTAATGAACGACACAACTGTGATTTTTACTATTTAGTAAATGTTTTTCAGAATATAATTGTTTGGGGATACCATATGATTCTGAACATAATTCCTATATATGTACTCTTCTAATTATTGTGCAGAGGAGAAAGATAGATGTGACAAATCTCATAGATGACGCTGCGGTGTCTCATTTGATCTTGGATAAGTTTTCGGGTACGGTTGGCTATCTTAATGTAGAATACGTTAATCAATGATTACACTAAATGACTGCGTTTATAGCCAATGATAACCTCCAAGTCAGTCATCCAAGAAGAAAGCGTCGCTAATCTTCTCCACCACAATCAGAGATCGGTGCTGGCCTAACAGACTTGGATACCATCATTTAGGATTTGACGACCGAAAAAGTGAATTTCCCTTATTTTGTAGGAACCCAAACGATCTCAAAGACCCTCCAACTGCTCCCCGAGCGCGTCCGTTTGGAGCTGCGCCTGAGCAATCTCCAGGACTACATTACTCGCACCAACGTAGCTTACCGTCACTTCCGTAACTACGCGG